TAAGTACCAGGCGGTGTGGGGGTCTGGACTCTGGGACTGCAAACTGTAGTCCGCGTTCTCCTTCCACCGGTTCAGTCAGCTCCCACAAAGGGCCTGTCAATGCCAATGGGATTCATTGGTGAGTACGGTAGTACTAGTAAGTTACTACTACTACCGTACTACTAGTACTGTCTGAATCAAGCGGTGTGGGGGTCTCGGACTGCAAACTGCAGTCCACGTTCTCCTTCCCTCCGTTCTGTCTGGCTTTGCATGACTGCACAGTGCACAGATTGGCGCCACCGTCAATCGAGGCGCGATGACGCGGCCGGCCCACAGCGGCAGCGCGGCCGCAATCAAAGTCGATCCATCCCGCGCGCGCGCCGCGCGGGCCAATTCTTCTGGACCGCCCTTTTCCCGGTATCTCGTGCAACTAGAGTAGGTAAGTAGATTGTAAGATTGGAGCCTCGTCACAAACTCCCCCCCCCCGACAGATTGACGCCTTTTAGGCGCCAATGGGGTTTGCTCCAGATAGGCAACAAAGATTACAACACGTTGACACAACAAAGGCACCGAATATGCTTCGAGGGACTAAATGACGCCCCAACGCCCACTTGACACGTGCCTTTTGGTCGTCAAATATGCTTCAAGTCCAACTTTGTGTTCTTATGGTGACACTAAAGTTGGAGACTGTTGGGCGGATAACATTACAACACTTTGGTACGGGCATGGGTGGCGCCTTTTAGGCGCCAGATTGTCGGGGGGGGGGAGTTTGTGAAGCGTGTTCATGGCATGGATCTTCGACTAGAACACATTGTATGCATGCATAGCAGAGCCGCAACTCACTAAATTGCAAAATGATCGAAATCGTATCGCAATGAAAGTCATGATGAAAGCTGATAAGATCATCCAATTTGACTGTACTATAGGTGCAGTAGTGATTGTAAAACTGCAGTCTGTTATCCTTTGAACGGAGGTCTATACAAAAGCAATTGGAGTGCTCAACGATCATGCAACCCTCTCCTTTCAATCAAATCCGTGCTTACTTGTGGGCCCGCTATCAGGCCAGCGCATCCAAGTGCGATCTATTTGAACGACTTCTGCAACTGAAGTGAAGCCCGGACCTTGAAGGGAGGGGCTGTGAATGATGACATTCTTTACAAGGACACATGGCTTGTGGATCCGATTAATTTCATAGACTCTTAACCTAGATTGGGCAAGCTGAAAACCAGGCAAGCTGAAAACCTAGATAATGGTTGGAGGGGTTTGAATCTGCTTCCGGAACCGCAAACGCAAAAACAATTTCTCGAAGTTCAACACCAGTTACCTACTGCAAGCTGGGTCCAAAACCAAGTCGATCCGCTCCTCGACGAGTCGACAGACGCCGACGTCTATAATCGTACAGTCTCCTGATGCACATCAGCACGGCCATCGCAAGTAACATCCAAACACCAGCAAACCTGTCCAACGCGCGTTGACTTCGAGGGATCCCCTGAGGAACCTCGACTACGGCCGTTACATGAGAAACTCGAGAACGCGTGCTCGGCAAACCGATCCTATCGATCGCCTTGCTTTCTGATATTTCTTCCCCGGAGCGTGCTGACTCTCCTATCAAGCCCCGGAACGCTTCCCCGGCCCCCTCCGCTGAAGACGGGCCGCCTGACCCGCCCCAAGACGCCCCGGCGATGATCGAAGCAACCTTCGGGGTACTATCATCCATCGTCACAGTCAAGCCGGGGGTAGATTTATCTAGAACTTCGACCTCGTCGACCGCACGCCAACGGCCCATGACGAAAAGCGGCGAGAGGCCCAGGATACAGCCGGCAGCGATTCCGACAGATGCGCCGGTTGTCTCGGCCCACCAGGCCTCCTGAAAACGAAAGTGAGAACGAAATTGCAAGAAGAAAGTGAGAAGAAAACCGCCCGGAGGGTCCCGCGAGGTTGCCTGCTTACTTCTTGGATCGTCAGGCTTTTGGAAACCTGACCTTCTTCTGTGAAGAGAGTCGTGTCTCTCTTCGTTGCGGCAGGTGCAGAGAACCGGAGCCGGCCGGGCTTCGAGCGCACGACGGCTGTTACATTGGACGCCAGCAGAGTGCATACTGCCCCTTCACGACCAAGTCAACTTCCCCGGTTCAAGTTGATTATTTAAGCGGGAGCAGTACAAAGGCATCACGGTGCGCCTAGCCCGGATCTTGGAAGGTGCTCGCAACGTCTTAGGAACACTAAAAGGCCCTGTAGCGTCCTCCGAAGTTAGCAACGGTTCGAATTGCAATCGCTGCGATATCGCACCTTGGTGGCCATCTGGAACGGCGACGCCTTGGGGTCCGGCATGAAGTGGCTGGACGCCCCCTCGATGCTTTCCTTGAAGGCAGCGCCGATGACGTCAGCGATGCAGTTCCCAAGCCCAGCGGACTGCAGGCGGAGATGATGTCAATGAGATGCGCACTGGCGTCAAATGCTACGCAGGTCTAAAAGTGGAAGTGAGTGCTAACAAGATGAGTAACCACCAGAAGTGGGTTACTCATCATAAAATTTGATCTGATACAGCTTGTGTCCATCCCACCTCATTCCGCCACAATGGAGGTTAACAGGTGCAGATCTTATTTGCAAGGCCTATATATGATAAACGAGTTAGTCCGTCGAAACGATAGAAAGCCGCTGAGACAATCGCTCGTCACTTGGACAAAGCCAAAACTTCAACGGGCAAAGGTCACGATCAGAGACGATTAGCAAGCGGAACCAGCTTCTGCAACTATGGCATCTTTGCAAAAAGTGCGCATCGTCACGTCACCGACTTGCAAGTATACAATAGCAGGTCCATGTCTCTGGTGCTTTCAGATCAGACCGAGGATTTGGATGTTTCACAAGACCACCTTCGGTGTGTGCCGATAACCTTTGAAAAGCAGTACTTCAATCAGTATCTGCAACCTTACTCACCATGAGTGTCGACAGTCCTAGCCCAGTGCCTATGGAGTTCTGAATTACGTCCCCAGCCAAGATCATGATTACATTGTCAGTAAAGCCAAAACCAATGTTCCCTGCAAGTAGGTAACATCTACTCAGCCCGTCGTTCCATACGAGAAGCAAAAGCTGATTCTTCAGGTTCTGGGACTTCGTCTGATACAAGATTGCGCATTTGCAGAGAGTTCTGCAAATTCCAACATTCCTCATCCGGATCAGTTTGGGCTCAAGGCAGTACAACATTCTTTCAGTTGCTAATCAGAAAGAGGCTCTTCGAGCGAAAGACGACATAGACCGGTGAAAGGGCAATGCATCCTCCCCTGAGATTTGGCAGAAGCTTGATGCCTCACCTATAGCAGCCCGCAGCGAGAGGAGAAAAAGCTGTCTTTGAGTTGGGGGCCTCATGGACTTTCCCATTTCAAGCGCCTGGGCCTCAACATAGCCCGAAAACTCATCCTTGCTCAGGATGCCATCATGGTTGACATCAACAGTCTTGAACACGTCGTCGATGTTTTCACTAGCTGCAACAGTTGAGGGGCAATCCTTTCAGAGTCTGTTGGTTGATATCTCAAAAAGTCGCCAAACCCAAAGCAGTTCAGAACCAGGAATCACATTGTCAGAGACATGTGGCCAATTTCGAATCTGGCCCTATTGCACAGCAGGTAATAGAAGTCTGACAAATCTTTCCTGAGTGCCAAAACGGACTGTGCTGAGAAAAGAATCTTTACAAGCTCAGAACATCACAAGTAATGGACTTCAGAAAACACCTCCTGGAATGCAAGACTGAATCGTTTGTCATTATGATCTTCATGGATGTCCTTTGCCAACCTTAACCTAGAGCTACCTCTATCAGCAATGTTGACATTGCAATGGCACCAAGAGATGTGATCAAAGACACTGACTGAGTACTCCAGCTGCAGGAGGTTGCCATGCAACAAAATTTGAAACCTTCCCAGCATAAAAGTGTCTGACTTCATGACCATTTAACACGGATCCCTTTTCTCCCAATTACATCAGAGAAGGCACAACCCCCTTCGTGCACTGTCTACTCTCGATTGACTGCCTTGCTCATAGGACATCTCTGCCGCTGACAATCGTCAAGGCATCTGGTGCATGTACTCCAAGAAAGGCACTGAATCATCTATCTTGTACGCACATTGGACATCGCGACAAACTTGGATGCACATCAGATATCATGACAGAATTGGAAGCTGAAATTCACTGAGTTTAAGTAAGCTTGCCTGTTTGGAAGAGGGCAGATAAGATGACCTCTCTTCCCTTCCCGTCCAATTGAGCAATCAAGGCAGCTGCAGTCTGATTCGCTGTGCTGTTATCCTGCAATGCATGGACCACCTGAAGCACAGAATCCTCAGAAGCTGGCTTATGTGGCTCTGCTGACGGGGAAGAGGCAGCGGCGAGACTCCGCACACTTTGAAGATCCCTTTTGGAATGTAGAGAACTCCTGTGTCGCAACAGGTCGCTTGGTCTGCAACATACTTCATGCAAATTGCAGCCCTGTAACCTGTGGACAGAACTTAGGCTTTGGTGGTCCTGGGCATGGGGTTGGCTGCACCGAGGGGTCAGAAACTTTCTAAATCTACTGGTGAAGTGTGTATCAAACAGGCTTTCTGAGACTCGCAGTCGGTGCCCTTCTGTCCTATGACATCTGCTCCAAAATACTACACCAGCAGCGGAGAGCTTGGCTGCCGGGCAGACGCATGCCATTGCGCAACTCACTAGGAAGTTAGGGCCGAAGCTGTATACTACATGAAGGAGAAGCTCACGTCAATGTCTTCGCACCACCTTACTTTATGGTTTACCCTGAATAGTGAGAACAGCAAAGTATCTATGGGGTATCTTATGTACAAATCATGAACGCCCTCTCATGATAGGGCGGTCACATCTAAGATTTTCGAGGCTCGGTAGTCCCGAACTTTGCAAAGTTGGGGAGTTTTTTTCCTCGACGGTGAAAAAAACAGCTTCGGGACTACCGAAAAACATCGCGGACTTTTTCTACGGTGGTCCCGAACATACTTCGGGACTCCCGAACTTTTCCGGAGCCGTACTAAAAGTTCGACGGTAGACAGCCTCCGCGGGCGAGATGTAGTGGATCAGCGGTTTTCACGGGATACCTCTTGTACTTCCCCCTTGTCAGGTCCCGGTTGTCCCGAAGCACCAGCTTATATGATGTGACCGAAAGGCGTTATACGGTACCGAACATTTCTTTTTCGGGAGGCCCGACATTTTCAAAGCCGTAGATGTGACCGCCCTATGAGAAGGCAACCCAACTTCTGAGCTCCTCTTCCAACAACCAGCAGAGATTTCAAAGCTTCATATTCCTGCTTAGCTCTGAAATATCTACCAGAATGCTACCCAGTCCTAGTACCAGTAGCTGGTAGGCGCTGTGAGCAACAGAATTGTTCGATTGCTGCAGAGGCTCTTCAGGCGACATTGGACGGTGCCAGATGGCAAGCGCACAGCTTCAGGAAATTAGGGTTTGACGTCTAAAGTGTATTCACATACGGATTTGTGAGGAAGGCCCAAATGGGCAAGGGCGCGTTGGCTATCTTAACTGGTTGTGGCGGCTCCGCTGTGTGAAAACTCCGACTCAGTCGCTGACCTGGACGATTCAAAGCCACCTGTCACTCAAGTGCATCATGACGAAAATATTGTGCACAGCATTGAACCCAGCAGACTCGAGGCGCCAATTTGGCAACGTAGGAAGTGACGCAGGAATATGAGTGGGTAGGTCCTAGGTAGATGTTTCCTCAACTTCCTCAAGTCTTCGTTGGACCCTGTCTCAATGGATGAACGATGATCCGCATTGTTCTTCTCGCCGGGGCTGCGGCCGCCAGCGTGGGCGTGAAAAAGCTGCAAGAAAGAAAGAAGCAGGAAAGAGCGAGCTTGAATGATGCGTCTGGGGCGGCATTGGCGGTTGATACTGACGAAGTCTCCCAGCCAACAATTGGGAGTCCGGAAAGTGGGGTGAAGGACTTTGCAGAATCCACTGCAAACAAGAATGTGGATGAGAGAAGCAGTCAGCAACATGGAGAAGCAGCTGGTTCGGTGGCAAGTATACCTCAACCAGAAAGCCCGAAAGCCCGCATCTCTAAATCAACTGTTGTACCAGGAAAAAGCTCGCCGGTTGCAATTTCCTCCGGGCAAACCGGCGAAAGATCCAACCTTGCGAAGGGTTCCGATAGCACCCCCTCAGTAAGTAGGAGCCGTGTCAGCCGGCTACGATTGGAGATCGAGGGCGCCTCGCAAGGTGACGCTTTCTCGTTTCCTTCCCCTACAAAGGGGGATAGTCCTGGCACCATCAAAGCCCCCCCTACTCCGATCCAAAACGGGCCAACTGTGCAGGTAGCAGACAGTGATGCCGCGCACGCTTTCTCGCCACCTGGCGAGATTCCAGTCGTCACCATCCCGTCATCTGTCACAGCCGCAGTCGGTACATATTCGCCACCGACAAAAGATGCGGCCACACCCTTTGTGCCACCCACTACGGTTGTGCCACCCACTACGGTTGACACCAATCCTTCTTCCCTCGGGCGCGTCAACAGCTCAAGCAGCATCCGGGCCCCTCCCACCCCGTCCAAAGAGCTCCACTCGTCCCCGACCGAAGCGAAACCGCCGCTCGTGATCAGCAGCGGCGTCAGGGCCGTTCCCACCATCCCGCCGCGCAGCCGCTCGAGGGGCCCGAGGGTCAGTGTGAATGCGGGGCTGCTCGATATCCTGCCTGGAGATGACACTCGAGAAAGCCGCATACGGGCCGTTCCCACGAAGCGGCCCTCCGTCGAGCCTCCCCCTGTGAGGAGCTCGTTCTCTGAAGGAGTCTTTGGAGCGCTTGCGAGAAGCGTTCCAAAGATTGGACTGCCATTCACAAGCAAGAGTGGTCCCTCGAGCCCTGTTGGAAGCATAAAAGCCCCCCCCACTCCATTGGGCTTACCAAAAGCCTTGAACCCTGACTCGAGGGGAGCGAGTCCAGCCTCGTCCGTGATCAGACCCGTTCCGACACCTGGGGGAGCGGTGAAAGAGGAGAAGACATGGGAACCGGGGAGCTTGGACGGCGACTCGGAGAGCGTAACTAGCGCGGGGACGAACTTGGACGCGGCGTCGGTGGTGGTGAGCCCAATCGAGACGGAGAGCCAGCGGCGCGTGGCGCGCGAGCGGTTAAGCTTGAAAGACAGGCGAGTATATTGTTCTGCTTTTACTTATACATTGTAACAGTGGGCTGGAGAAAGTATCTTCTTTGCCCTGTGATAAGTGGACGAATGAGAAGCTCAATGCAGAAAATGAGGCGGCCTTTCTTATGAGGCGGGCACAATGATGGGGGTTCGGCCCTATAGGTTCAGCATTTAGTCCCTTCTTGTGCACAGCATACACCATCAGCATCTTTCGAAAGTTTTCAGCTCCGCACTTTGCTTTACTTCGGCCCTACTCCATCAGCGTCCAAGTCTGAGCGCCTTTGCAAACCGACTGAGGCAAATCGAGTCTTATCGGCCCTAGTCACTCTCCAAGTCGGAGCATCTCCGCATGGAATTGACGAGTCAAGGCACTCGAGCTTCTGGCAGTCGTTTACAAGAGATTATTGGTGAGGACCTACTGATGTCACCACTGATGTCACCGTTTGAAGATCTGAAAAATGGAGTTGAAGTCTTTGTTCTTCGAAAGCAAAGTTGGAACAGTCGGTCAACACAAGATGGTCTTGATCTTTACAACTGCCGACCAAAGAGTAACCGCCACTCATGAAGTTTTGCCTGCCGATCAAATCGGCAAAGTGGGTCAAGCAGAAACCCCCTCCTACTGAGTGACAGGAATATCAAATCTTGTCATGCGCAGGTGGGAGCTTGACGCAAAAGCAGCAGAGCTGGGGGCAACGGAGAACGGCCCAGCCGCAAACGCTCGTGCCGTCACCGTCGACGGCACTGGTGCAGATCCGTCGGAGGGCAGGCGGCCCCCGACGGAAGCAGGCCGGGACGGAACAGAACGGAACGAGAGCGGAACGGTACAACCACTGAACGGAACGGGCCAGAACGGGATTGGCATCGCGGCCCCATCTCAGGGGGCGAGGAAGGAGCAGATCGAGTTGATACAGGGGCGCGAAAAAGCGCTCAAAGAGTTGGAAATGGACGAAGAACGGCGGAGGGAGAGACTGAGGATTTTGGAGGAGCGAGAGGCAGTGTTGAGGGGGCGATTGGAGGAACTAGAGCGGGCTCACGAGGAGCGGCGGGCTGCTGACGTGGCGGGGGTTTCGAAAGGGATGGGTGAAAGTGGGTCGAAAAGCGGGGGAGAGCTGCCGGTGGGGGCGGCGGACCGGTTCGACCAGGCCAACTTTGACCGGTGAGTTGGCAAGTGGTGCATCTTGGTAATGCCAGCGACTGTTCTGGAGAGCATAACTGCATCCAGCAATTGACGCCAATTAAACTTTCGGATGCAGTAATTAGCGCAGAGTTAGGTCTCGTTCAATTGGATCTGCCGAGATTTTCAGACCCGGTTTGCCGACTCCTTCTCAAACATCCCCAATAGAAGCTAGGCATACTAAGAAGAGTCCTCGATTCAAAGGACAGGATCGAACTTTCTCTAAGATAGTCCTCGGCATATGCAGGCCAAGTAGACAGGGTACCAAAACAGCACAGAGATTAGCAATCGCACTGCAAAAAGAGCCACAAGCGATTGCGCCAAAATCAACCCCTCAAGCTATTTTACCCCCCCCTGGAGTGCAGTTGGTGCCAGCTCCGGGCGGGCCCCTCAGGCGCCACCACCCACTGGTACTCCTCGGGGGAAGTCTACTCCTATCCGGGGGGGCAGCTTCTCGCGCGCCTCGAGGGCTTCGAGGCGGTGCGCGCGCGCAGGGAAAGCGCGCGCCTAGTTCACGAGCTGTCGCGGCGACTGCTCTTGTTTGTGGATAAGGAGAAAGGGACGCCGTTGGAAGACACCGGGGGGGGCAGGCTGGGCGAGGTTCGGATACCCTACCAGCACTGTACGTACAACTTGGACGGGTCGGTGGTCCGAACTGAGGTGAGTCGGGGTGGCATCTGGGAGTGGCGAGGGAATCGATTGACGCTGTCGGCGTGTCGCAAAAGTCCAATGGGGCGGGTCAAATTTCCGGATACTGATGTATCTGGGGGAGGAAACGGGTTCTTTGGACTTGCACTCTTTTACGCGATTGGTATCGATACAGGTGGCTGGCACGAAAATTGTGCGTTGGCGTGCCTGGTGTCTCCCCTCGCAGATTTTAGCTGATTCGCTGGGCTCGTACTGCGCCGCTTCGAAAATGAGTAAAGCTCTCCGTGTAAATCGGCGGGCGTAGTCGTCACAGAAGCCAAACTTCCTCCGCTTCCCATTTGCTATTGGAAGGGGTGGGCTGAAGTCCGGCCCACACAATTACCACCTCAACGTGCATGACGAGTATTTTCACAGCCTCAATTCTCCTCACTCCGTCAAACCCATCCATTAGTCGCAACTACAACTAGGTGAAGCCCCTCCAGTACGGTTGTGTAAAAGCCCTCCGTTACATTTATGTAAAACCCCTTCATTACATTAGTAAAACCCGTCCGTATTATGGGTACTTTAAACCCCTCCGTTATGGTTACTTAAAACCCCTCCGTTGCGGTCAAGAAAACCCCTCCGTTAAACGCAGGTCACGGTTAGGTCGGGCGCGAGCGCCGTGCGGCTGGGCGGCAGCGCAGGCGGCGTGCGCGTCATGCAGGGCGCGGACGGGGTCGTCTTTACGCGTCCGACGTTCCTCAGCATTCCGTCCGAAAATGGTGAGCGTCGAGCTCGCCTCTAGGATCTCGCCGTCAAAGAAACTCAGGAAAAATTCGAACTGCGAAGATTATAATTAATAACGCCCTAAAACTCAATCCTAACTCGGTCATTTGCATGCTCCGCATCCTCAAATCACCCTAAATATGCAAAGTAACGCTACCGGTCTCTGTGGCAATTACCTACTTGTTCTTCTAGCTCACCGTTATCTTTCTTAAGCTCTTTTTCGTCAAGATGAGGCGTGCATTTATGAACTCACACTTTTCCGTAAGCGAGCATACTGTTTGACAAAGGGACGTGCTACGACTTTTGAAATCACTCATGAAGTATCGGTTTCGTTCGAGAGCATAGGCGGAGTGAAGTTGAAGGGAATTCCCACGTCAGGGAAAGAGTAGCTAGACAAGCGCGCCTTAACCTGGTCTCTGGACAGTAGTTGTTGCACTGTCCCATTTTTGCGGTGAGGTCTTGACCCCGTAAGGTAAGTGCTTTTTCTGTGTGGTAATGCTAATCGCTGCGAACGAGGCGCTCGGCCTAGTTGCGGAGCCTTCCCCACCAGTAAATTCTATTTTGACTCTGGCCATTTCTTGTCAGTCCGACAGAGTCGAGCGTTCCGGTCTGTTTTGACGGCGTGTTCTTACGGTGCTGCGTTTTGATCCGGGAAGGGTTTTCAGAAAGTATACGTCAGCACCAATGCGTAATCACCCCCGTTCCTTCCGGCATAAGTGTTGTCGCAGCAGAAAGCTTCTCCGCGCTTTGACGTTGTCCTCATGCGAACCCTTCTTCACAGTGCACCAACCCAATTTCCCCGTCTAAGCAGCCCTCCAAGCGTTTCTTTCTCTTCCGCAGGCGACTTTCTCGCCTACGAAAACCACGACTACTTCACGACAACCCGGGGCCCCGACACCCCGCCTACCGACCACTTTTCCATGGTGCGGCTGGGCCCGGTTCCCGGATTTCCCGGGCAGTGTTTCGTCCACGTGGTCGGGTGGAAGCCAACCGACCTGACGTCACTGCCAGCTGTCCTGCGGGTCGAGCTAGACAAGGAGCCGCTCTGGAAGGAGGCGCCCGAGAAGGTTTACGACTAACCCTCCTTCTAAACCTGATGCGTCTACGTGGTTGGGTTGAAGCTAACCCCACCTGACGGCACTGCCAGCTGTCTTGCGGGTCGAGCTAGACAAGGAACCGCTCTGGAAGGAGGCGCCGGAGAAGATTCACGACTAACCCTACGACTAACCCTGGGTTTGATGTGGAACGTGGGTCATGAGTATACTTACTGCACCGCATTCGGTGAGGGATTTGTTGGGCTTTAATAAGCCGATTGATCTGGGCTCCAAGCTGGAGGATCCTGCCATAGAATTTGGCGGCAAGTTATACTTTATGGACATTCCTAGTTGCTAAGCTGTCGTTAGATGTATCTCAGTCGTGTTTGGAGCATTTAAAAAATAAGGCAAGTGTACAGCTCGTGCACAAATTTGGAGAAAGAATGGGAAAAAAGAAGGAGTATGACTTGTCGTTTCCATGCAAAGATGGGCAATTGCCCGTCTGTTCTTGTTGTGCTGCCTTTCAATGATAAATCGACCGTGTGCAGTGGTTGATCTATGAGTGTCGTATGCCGCAAGCTGATCAGGGGTTAGGCGATTCTTCCAGCTGAGACAATGCCTCTGGCAGCTCGCACGCCGCCTGGTCGGATCGCCCCGGGACATGCCAGACCAAAGAATGTACTGAAATCAGCTAGCTCGAAATCTGCACATCAGGTGTGAGTTTCGAATTGGTTATGCAATGCATATGGCAGCAGTAAAGCCGAAACAGGGGCCGCGCCTAAAATTGCGCATGCGTGGCAGCTTGCAGCAACCCGCGCTTTGTCAAATTGCTGTATGGCCATACGTGTATATATATCTAGCTATCGCGTGAGACATAATGAGATCTAAGTACACGTCATACGCGTACGCCATGTCCAACGCAGTTGCACTGCATGCACCAAGTTGCGCACCCGATTCTTGGTCGGACGCAGCTTGACACCAATCATTGTTCCGACTGCTGAATATACCCCATGAAGTCACGTCCTCACGTATATAGCCCATGAGCTCTAAGCTGCACTTGGAAAAAAGAGGAGCTAGCAGCCGGGTTCCCGATGCCCCGGCCTGCTAAATTTCTCGTCAACTCCGACAGCTCAGTGTGACCTTTGAATCGCGAACCCAGTACCGTCACCGTGCAGTCGTTGATCATCGATGCAATTTCAGCCCCAAGCCTTTCATTGTACCGTCGGGCTAATTATCAAAACTTAGAGAACATGCACAATTGCTGGCCGGAGTATAACGTCTCTCCAATGCACCGGTGACCGTCGGACATGTATGATCTCGAAAGATTACATTGTGCTTTGCAAATTCATAACGGCAGCCACCGCCCTTTCAAAAACAAAACACTCGCCCTTTCCAGAAGTTCAATATGTGTGGATCATGTCGAGGCTCTTTGAGCGCTTAAGTTTGACAGCTCTCAGAGCCCCTCTTTACCGTAATCGCGTATACTAAAGACTGCGCTCAGAATGTTGATCAGAAATACGTCGGTAACGACGAAATATTGTGGACTTTTAAACGTTTCGCTGACAAGGCCGGCATATATAGCGCGACGGTTTCGCTTTATGTCTGGTCGAGGCTGTGCTTCTGTACAATTATCTTGCTTGGCATGCCTATAAATAGGAGGTTCGTGCTGCTTAGATTGACAGCGCCCCAGCAAATCTTGGGCGCCAAAACAATTCGATCACTGGGACCACTTCTCCCACGATGCCGTATTCAATTACCTTGCTATCTATAAGCTCCAAAACTGTGTCAGGAGCTCGACATCGAAATAATAACCTATAGCGGACGTACCTATAGCGCCCGTTAAACCTTACTTGGCGGAGCCGTTAACAGTACCCATCACCGCCAAGCCTAGTTCTTTTGCGTTGACGATGCTAGGGCAGGCCTGGGGCAGGCTCGATGCCGTTTCGTCCAGAAACGGCATCACGTCGTCGTGGTGGGGCCAGACGGGAAAGCCCTGAAGCGCGCCCTGCATTTCAGGGGACGATACGTCTCTATGCTGTTTCTTTCACGTCAAAAAGTTCTCACTTGTAGTCCCCGTTATTCGCATTCGTAAGTATCCAAGAAAGAAAGGACATTCCTTTTCCGAGGGTCTTTTCAACTACTGAAACTTAAGCTTTGACCTTGACAGACATTTGGTATGACGGACTGGTAGCTTTAAGTGCGGGGCTTAGGAGCCTAGTAAGTGGGGCCTGAATAGACGATTGGGAGCCCATCAGATTGGGGAGATAGAGCAAACGAAGTCAAAGAAGAAAACAATCCTCGTATCATTGTCCTAGCTGGAACTCGTCGGGGTACCTTCGACATCAACAGAGTCTAAGAACACTTTCAAATGAGAATCAAAATGAATCTATCTACCTCTGTGGAAGGAGCCAGAGACAATGCTATCGCAAGATGCTGGAGGGCATCTTTCACGCGTTTTGGAAGTTGCAATCGCAGACCAACGCGTCCCGCTCGCTTTTCGTTGACTTGTGCCATTTTTTCAGCGCATAAGACCCTTTGACTTTCTTCTAATCCTATTCGAGCGGCCGGAAATATTCTCCTCCATAGCCAAAGGTAAATGCTACCCGTGACAGCTGTTTTGAGATGAACATAAGAGGAGTAGTGGTGGCTGGAGTCCGATTGGCGCGTAAGTTTGATGCCAGAAAAGTAGTCTCTCATCGGCAGCTCACCGCGACGTTGCAGGCTGCCAGCGTGGCCATTCCCGCGCGTGTGAACATAAGCGCGGAGGCGATATGGGGAACGACGATCGCGTTTGCGAGGCTCTCCAAGCCCGGCTGCATCTTGGGCTCCTCCTGCGCCGGGTTCAGAACATGGTTAGGGACTTGTTCGTAATTGTGACTGCATTACGTTTTTGGAGAACTCATGTGTCGTACAATCCCTTTCCTAGGAGGATTTGTCGTGGTACCGCAGATGAATCGGCCACGCTTTTTGAGTTTGGCTGCATCTTCATATTTCCAAAAAGACGATGGGTAGCCATCTGTTGAGCTCGGGTCAACGGGCTGACGCGCTGAAGCAAAGCGGGTTAAGTTTGATTGTCCGGAACCTCGACCACGTTTGCAGAGCTCCCCAGCCGGGCTGCATCTTGGGCCTTTTCTGAACCGGATTGAGATTACAATGAAGATCTGATTTGACATGATGTGATTTGACATGAGCTGTCACACAAGAACTCAGGTTATCAAGAGGGGTTATCACGGGAACCGCAAACCGCGTGCGCAGAAGTATCCAGAGCAACCTGCACCTTCTCTCCTCCTGCGCCGGGGTGGTTACGATCAGGTTCACGTCGCAGGCCAGGTTTAAGCTTGGAAACAAAGACAGCTGCTGGGCTCAAACTGGCCTTCAAGAACATTTGAGACCAAAACAGCCTAAACGGCTAATGCTTTTAAGATCGAAAAAGCCTCAGCAACGATCGCTGAACGGGAATCATTTGTTTAGTGCGCATATCCCTGCGCGCAACTGCAAAACGATATGCGCCCACCTCGAAGACGTCCAGGCCCGCGTGGAAGAGCGGGTTCGCTTTGAGGTGCTCCACCAAGGCCGACTCGTCGATGACTGGCCCCCGGCTGATATTGATTAGGATGGCGTCCTGCAGCGGCGATTAGGGAGGGAAGCTTAGAGGTTCGCGGAGATGGACCCGTTGGCACGAACTCTTCGTGTAAGCCCTCCGGTTGTGAGTCGCCACGTGGGTCGAAAATAGAGCGATCTGAAACACCAGAACTTCCCTTCAGTATTCCGAACTGCCGATCGGGACAGCTAGAATTCGCTTGAACTTTATGCAAGTGTGAAACGGGAACAAAGAAGAAGCTCGGGACGAGTGAACAGAGAAAAGACTGCAAAAATGCCGAGGCCTCAAACTGCCCACCTTCTTCATCAGTTCGAGCCGCTCCATGTTGATCAGGTGGCGCGTCGAGTCGTCCAGTATCACGTGCAGGCTGATGACGTCAGCCTGCGTCAGCACCTCCTCGACGGAGCCCGCCCGGGTGCACGTCAGCGGCGCCTCGCCTAGACTCTCCAGAAAACTGCTGTAGACTGCGGCGAATAAGAAGTAGCCGTTAGTTTTCCTGTCTGCAAGAGTGTAAAGCAGCCGTAGGTATACATATGGACCGAATTTGCAATATTCAAGCCGAGTTTGTAAGTCTGCCCTGTTTTGAAGCCTATTACGTAAACCTTTCCCAGTTTTTAAAACAGCCAAAAGAGTGAAAACAGCGCAGATGAGGCAAAACAACTCAAATTTTCAACAGGGCAAGAAAGTTTTTTGAAAACGCAGATTTGAGGAAGGCAAGAGAGCCAGTTTTAATTTTGAAAATCCCACTTGAATGTTGAGGGGAATAGTCACTGATTGTCGTTTTCTCCTAGGAGAGCTACAGTGCATCAGAAAAGCAAAGACCTGAGCTTGGAGCCCCTACCAATGATCTTCACTTTTAAAGATTCTGTAGAGAACGAATCGACAATTCTTTGGCAACCACGTCGTTTGTATTGGTTCGGATTTTTTGCTCTACGATTGTCTCTGAACTGCTAAAGCAACCCAAGTCCATTTACCTTCTCCGGGATCCGGCATTTTAAGGTTGCACACTAGAAGGCGGATAGGAGTGGCAGACTCGACATTTCCGGAAAGAGTTGATTGGTTCCTTCGCGGATTGGAGTAGTCGATTATGCCTTCCAAAAAACGAGCTCAAGCTCAATCTGATCACAGTTGCAAGGATTGAACATCGCTGCCGGTTTACATCTGACCTGCAGTGAATGACTCCAGCTTCTTCGCTTGGTAAAGGTCGTAGTACATAACATTCATTTTGTGCCCCTCCATCTGCAAGCGAGACGAGAGAAATTGAAGCCAGAAAGCGTTTACAGATCCACTTCAGAAAAAGAATGCCCGTCCCGCGCATCCTTGGATCTGAACTACTTACCAATCATCATCGGCTGCGTAGTAAGAATCGGCGTCAGAGGTTCATGGAAAACTTACAAGAATCGTGTCGAAAACCTCGATCATAGATCACCCAGAAGCAGACCAGGCTCTCATAGACATTCTCAGAAACGACGGCGTAAATGAAGACATACATTCCTTCCTAAATCGTCTCAATTTACAGAGGAATCTGCGCCAAACAAAGTCAAAGCTGGCAGCCTGAGAAGACCCTCGAACATACATATACTGTATACTGCAGGTACCACGAAAACATGCACACGTGTCAAAATGGGACTCGATTCTAGAGGGGCACGTTCTGACCATGTGTCTCAGTTCCTTTGAACTTCAAGCTACTTGAATGATAAGAACGTACGTTCTACCTGGCAGAAACAAAACCAGACTCCCAATCCAGACATTCATGCAAACCGCACCCAAACCCAGTCTAACCCCTACCTAATCCTCCCCGTCCACTTGGCTTGACCATGTTATTCACATGGCTCCTATCTACCTAAAATGAAGATTTGGGATCTGACCATCATCCGCGCATAAGCGGTGCCGATCCTGCCCGCGCCAAGAATGCCGAGCGTCCGGCCCTTGAGCGGGTTCCCGATGAATCGCGTCGGCAGCCAGCCGTCGTATTTCCCGTCGCGCATGAAATGGTCCGCCTCCACCACGCGCCGCGCAGTCGCCAGCGTCAGGGCGACCGCCAGCTCCGCTGTCGTCTCAGATGCAATGCCCTGTATAGGGGGGGGGGCAAATAAGACTTTCGTTTGGGCAGTGGGGTTAGCGCACGAAAGACGAAGGGGTGTCGCCAGCGTCAGCGCGACCGCCAGGTCGGCTGCGGTCTCGAATGCGATGTCCTGTTTGGGGGGGAAGAAAGAGTGCGGTTTTTGGGGGGAGAAAAGAAGTGGGCACTTCCGGGGGGGTGGAAACAAGTAGGTTGAAGTTTTTTGTGAGGGAGAACGGGGGGAACACGCGGCGCGGTGGATCGTGGGGAAAGAAGACGTGGGTTACTGGGGAAGACCAAGGGTAGCAGTTGCCAGGCGTCAGGTCGGCCGCCAGCTCTGCGATGCTCAGTTTAGTGAGAGGAGAGGTGGGTTGTTTTGGGGGAGGTGAAAAGAAGTCGGCCTTTCTTGGGGAGGAGAGGTATGGTGAGCATCAGCAGAAAAAGATGAATCCTAAGTGCAGACGGAGAGACTTTCATGGGAAGGCACGTCTGACGTTGTGGCTGCCAAGCCCACGTCGTGTTGGGACTCTCGTTAGCCATGTCGAGAGTTTTATTTGAAAGCGACGCAGAAAGCTCGAAAGCCAAAGAAAAAGAGTGTATCGATGTAGGCAGACTTGCAAGTCAAGCTCAAAAAAGCGAAGCAGGATCTGTGAATTGAGCAATGAAAAAAGGGCAGGCTATGGGTGAGGCCCCAAAAAACGACCGGCAGCTCACGGGAGTGTTTCCGACGGGGATTCCGTATCTAGTTGCCGCCGCTAGGTCCACGTTGTTGAAGCCGTCGGCCATGTTGCTATACGCACGCCCGCCGGCCCTTCTGAGCGCCGCAAAGAGCTCCCCACTCCAGTCCTCCGTCAGCTGCCCGATTGCGCCGTCGCAACGGTCTCCGATCAGAGCCGTGATGTCAGCGGGGCTCAGGATGGTTTTGGGGGCGGTGCAGATCTGCGCAGATAATCGGTATTGGGTCATCCTTCTGTTTACGATTGTCTATGAGATTCGTAATGTGAGATCCAAACAATTGGAAAGAAATGCCGTCCGGTTTCAACGTGGAATGGTCAGTAAGAGCAACTTTGTTCTGGGAACTCGTTTCTCCCATGCCAATATGGGAGAGCGGGGGTGTAGCCAGCTTCGTGCACATTCGGGAAGGAGGCCCCCCGCTAATGATGACGTCAGCATAGGGCGGCACTTCTGTTGGCGAGGCCTTGGGGAGGTCGTGAGGAGACACCAACGCCAAGCTTCTTCAGCTTCGTGTCCAAAGCCAGGGGGCTGTTTCAGACGGGTAGTTCGGGGGGGTATTTTAGAGGGGTGGTTCGGGGAAGTAATTCAGAGAGGTGGATCAGAGGTTTACTTCAGGGCTGATCAAGTATGACAGCGCTTAAGTCGACAGGCATCTTGGGCAAGAACACAAGCCAGATGCTTTCAAGCTGGCACAGAGTCCGCTCGTAAATCCGCCGACGTAGATTTGAGATTTTTTGACACGACCTATAGACTCAGAAGGAATGAAAGTCTTCTTGAGAAAGGGGAGATCTGATGCTGTCACAAGCAGAGTAATCAACGATTGGTCACAATGATTTCGGCTGCTCTCTTCTAAGGCTGAAGCTTACAGAAGCGCAAAGCTCAACTCAGTGCTTTTCACCAGGAAGAGATTTGTACTCTGCAGTACTCCGTAGCTTACCTCCAGTCGACAACGAGCAGATTCACACGCAAAGAGACATATGAACATATGTAGAGAATCTATCCTCATCATATGCCATCTTGGTTTGAGAATCATTTCTCACAGGTTACGTCCATCCAACACCGCCCAGATCTTACACCCGAAAGCTATCTCAAAGATCACAGACCCTTGACCACTGTATGCGCAGAATTCCTTTCCAGCTTGCACTCATTTCAGACTTGACACTCGCCTCCACACGACAGTCTGCTTCCACCAGTGCGTCGATCCATCTGGTGCCAGGCAGCGGTTTGGTGGAGATCACCCTGAAGCGACCCGTGGGGTTTTGCACTAGAACAGGGAGGGGCGTGAGGCCGTTGCTGCGCTGAGTCGGAGGGGGCAGAAGGGGATCCCCTTGAGGGGGCATCGTCTTGGGAGTAGGCCTGGAAAGTAGAAGACGGTGCAACGCTATCAGGCGTGATTGGTTGGACTACATCTCAAGAAGGGAGGACTCGCTTTGGGGGGGCATGAAGTCGGGGGGACATGAACTTGGGAGTAGGCCTGGGAGACAGAGACCGTGGGTCAATAACCGGCGAGTAGGAATCTAGATGGGAGGGCTTGCATTTGGGACACGATTATGAGAAGGAGCAGACTGTCTGAATCATAGCCTTTCTATGAAGCAGATTGGATGGATAACTTTTGGCATTGTGGGCGGACTTGATTGTGGTCAGGGAGTGAGGGGCCTAACCTAGGCCAGCTCACTTATCAGATTGTCCTTCTATACACTCCTTTCGCTGTCAAAACGTATCCACAGGCAAGCAACCTTATGATCAGCTCATCCAATGATTATTTTAGATTCTTCCCGGGCAAGACGTTGGACTCTTCACACTCAAACAGTTCACCGAATCTCCTGTGCAGCGAACTTAAACCATCCTGATGTGCTGAAGGTGGTTTCTGATCTAAGTTATTAGAGGACAGGTTATTAGACGGGCAAGGACTTGCTCTTGCTCTTGTCAACATAGACGGTGTATTGATGCGATCTACAATAAGGGATTCAGCAGCGTTGCACCTAACTCAAAAGTTGGTCAATGACACGTGATATCCAAACGATCCAGGTTTAGACGGGGGAGTCCAAACGTGCTACATTCCAGACCACCCCTGTTTCAAACCACATCTGGTTTTAGGCAGTGGTATAAGACAAACCGACTCCCTAAATGGCCTACCAAACCTACTGCTTCTCTTCCAGCTCACCGGGGTACAGTATTGGTAGATCCGCGTGTTGGTGACGTGAAAGCACCTCCGGTGATGGTTGCGTGAGCTCGGCAGAGCTGAACGGCGTGGGACATCTCCAAGCGAGCTGGAAGAAAGCGCGAAGGTCACGAGTCCGCGTTTTCGGGGGATTGATATTGCGCTGGCAGCAAAGTCCTTACGCCCCCGATCAGCTTAGAAGAGATGGCGACAGGGGTCTCCAAAGCGGCTGCTGGTGCTGAACAGTTTGAGGTGCGTGTTCGTGGATCTGCGTATTGCTCAAAAATTGAATATCGCGTTTGCTGCACGCTTTTCCTTGGGGAGCTCCTTGAAACGCTGGGCGGGTCGCCGTTGACTAGTACTCACAAACTTCAGCTGTTATATTATTCTGGATGAAAGTTTGGGCGAGCTTAGCCTTCTCGCCGAGGTGTTCCAAGGCACGGCGCCTTTGCCAGAGTTCGGCCCTAGCGCAATCTGCATCCGGCTGACAAAGGATAAGTACTCACGACTGCTGCATGCGCGGCGACTCGATCATGGCTCCTGGGAGTGTGCCCACACACTTTCCATGAAGTCCTTGACACTGCTCCTGATATCCGCCTGACTCCCAGCTAGGGCTAACTGGGGCCTGGATTCCATGACCGTCCTCATAACTCATGCAGTCATTTCAAGTTTTGTTCTAGTCGCTGTGTCAGCGGGTCCCCACGAGCGGGCACCGGAGTGTCAACGCGATCACATGATGCAACGCCGCATGTGCGCCACGGCAGGCCTGGTGAAGAGGAATATCGTTACTAGACCTCATCTCCACTAGCATTTAACAGGTGTTGCAAACGATTCATGTAGGTGGTATATAGCTGGTGGTCAGAGAACCTACTGTACAGAAGGGTGTTGATCCAGCGAACCAGCGCCACCATTACGCAGCTGCTCTGGTTACGGTACAGAAATTCCTGATGAGTACCGTTCATCGGAGGAATCTGTCAGGTCGCATGATTGAACAAGCGCGTAATAATGTGAGCTAGGCTGTGTCACCATGCATGTGCGAGCAGAGTTTGAACTTCTGCCTGGGAACTGCAGAGCAAACATTGTGTCACTGCAGCCTCAGTGCAGCCATTCCGTTCACGGGTGCGCACTGCGTTCTAGAGCTGCAAAATGTCCGTACTGCCTTACGTAGTAAGTACGCGCCGAGCGCGGGACTGCCGACATCCGTACACCAGTTAGTACAAGTATATGACGCCACGCTGACGGTACGTACCGCGCAGTACTTCATACTATGAGATGCTCGCGTCGGCCGCGAACTTCGTGCAGGAATCACCCGGCGAGTTAGACGGTACACTGACAGGCGCAGCAGCCAGTGGCTCAGTTTTGCTGGTTTCCTAATTCCCCTCTAGTCTCGACTGGTTGGTTGAAGTACCTAGGTACGTAGATAGGTACGTCGGACGCTTGACTACGGTACCACTTCGAGTCGACGCCGCGCCGGCCCCAGTGACTTGGTCCACTTTGGACGTACGTAGTCTGATACTCGTCATTGTTCTGATCGGTTTCTGCGAGACACAACGACGTTGCATTCAGGGCGTTGCAAGTGTTGCGTGAGCGTTGCTGCATCAGTCATGATATCTTGCAAGGTTCTTTCAACGTCAAAGAGCTGAAGTGTGTGCGCTTTCAAAGGACAAGTCGCGTTGTTGGAGCTTCACTTAGCATCATTGCACAAAAAAAGGTAATTTACACACAGCCCCGCCCCTATTTGCTCCACCTGGCCCAGGCCGGAGCCCTGCGCGTTTGGCCGCCCATTCTGTACTTACAACGACGAGATGACATACCTATACTGCTCAATTGCAGCTTTCCGCTTACAGCACACAATTCTCAAGCTACGATGCTTATAGCTTGTACAACTTGCGAAGCTGGCGTTCTCTGCAACATGCTGGCGGTAGAATGACCGACGGGGATGCCGCTGATTTGCTTCGGCATTCGACTGTCAACCAGTCAACTCCTTAACCAACGGGCGCTGAGCTCCCGCCGAGCGGGTCAATTGGCGCGATCAACAAGCTGGTACTGTCTTTGAGTCTTCACACGCCATCCATTTATTGAACTTCGCTGGTACTAACTTAAGGTTTACAGTCCTTCCTCCCAGTAATCAAAGACTGTGGCTAGGACCGGCTTGCGACCGGTCTGGGCCGAACTACTGAAACCTGATGGAACATGCAGTATCCAATAATGCATATAAACTGGCATCACGGTTGAAGTCATTCTTAGCATCAAACCAGCTGGGGTTATGTACGATTCTAGTTCATGTCTAGATTTCAAGAAGTCAACACAAAGGTTGAGCGGTGTCCCGAGTCTTGGTGCCGTTCTTGGCAGTCGACCTTGAGAACTCGCTACTAGCACGGAGCTAGCAAAAAATTTAGGTTTGGTTGTAACTTCGAACCGGCGAATGCGGCCACTCAGGGCAGTGTGATGCAAACACCGGGTGGCATTGGAGTCTCAATCGGTGAGAATGCAACCGTAGAGACGAACCCCAGTCACGGAAGCTGCGGTTTTCAAGAACGGTCATGATATGCAAACAGGCTCGAAGCCGACGACCTAAATACCGGTAAGAAGTATCAAATGCATGGAGACTTCCTTGTCTTTTGCAGCCCCGCCGCTTGAAAATTACTTCCGCGAATTCGGCATCTATTCTGTAACCGCTTTCAGCCGGCAGTCGCGGCCGCCGCCAGGAGCCGCCTCTCCTTGGTGCCACCAGTTAGCTGCTTGGAGAGTCTGACAAGCTCGGCGGCCAGCGCGCCGCATTTCCCGGAGGCCAGGTCGGCCGCGTCCTTCGCGAGCGTGGAGTCCTCCTGCGCGCGCTCGACCTGCGCCTCGAGCCCGCGCGTGTTGGCGATGACCAGAGACGCGACCTGCGTCGAAGAATTACCAGGTTGAAGGAAAGAAACGAAGTACTAGGTCGGACAGGATCCGGTTTGATGGGACTCTGCTGTGTGAAAACCTCTTAGAGGCAAATGAGAGAAGGAGAGCTTTACCGTCTTGAAAGTGTGCGGAGAGACGGGAGGGGGACGTGAGTAGTCAAACTGTGCAACTCAATCGAAAAACAAGGCCGTTGAACGCTTCAAGACGGAAATGTGGCGGCAGGATGGCAGAGTGCATTACTTGGACCCTTTGCTTCAAGCCAGCCTGCTTGGCTGACCATCGAACCAGCTATGTACGTTACTTTGGAGAAGTTTCTTCAGCAATTCGTGAAAGGACCTACGGTATTGTCGTTGACCTAGTCGGAGTTCCGGCGATAGCAACGTCGCACGTGACTAAGCTGCAGCGACTGGCGGGCCCTCAGCCCCGTGGCTTTCATCGGTCCTCAGAAACCTACCATCTCCAACCTTCTCTCAATTGTGCCGTTCGTTTTAACAGGTTTCTCAGGCGTCTCTCTTGAAGAATGAAGAGAGAAACAAGCCAAGATGCAACGGCACTTGAGCCAAAGCGCTCGAGCAGCCACTCGGCGAGAGACCCACCTGCTCGAGCCGCCACTCCGCGGCCGCCACGCGCTTGCTCAGCTGCGCTTCCAGGTCCAAATTCCGGTGCAAACCCTGAACCCTCTTGTCCAAACCCTGCACGCGCGCGCGCGTCTCCGCCTGCGCAGCCGCGCCCGCCGCCTCGTTGGACGCGAGCGCGTCGAGCCGCGCCTCCAAACCCCCCAACCTCCGCTCGACGCTCGCGAGCCGCGGCTTCGCGTCGGCGCTCGCGGGCGGCTGTTGCCCGCTCACAGCCTTGGGGTTCGAGGGTTTTGGGCTGAGGACGGGGTTAGGAGATCTGGGGCTGAGCGGCTTTGTGGGTTTGGCAGTGGGGCTGAGAGCGTTTGCGGGTTTGGGGTTAAGGAAGCCACGTAGGTCCGACGCGCCGGTCTCCAGAATCAGTATTTGTTCCACAAGTTCGAGTCGCTCTTCTAGGGACGAAGCTGAGTCAGCGCCCCTATGTGCGCGCGCGTTTGAACCTTTCCCGTCCGTTTCGTATGCTCTTTCGGACGGCACAGCGTGTCCGGAGGCCTTGTTCTCGCTTTCGAAATTTGCTTCCCGCAGCTCTCGCAGAGTGGTCTCGAACGCCCCAACCCGGTTCGCAAGGCCTGCCACGACTGGCGCGGACTGGGCCGTCCGCTTCTCGAGGAGCTCTAGCCGTTCCTTGAGTGCAAGCACGGCCTGTGGAACGTCTAGCGGATTGTTCGGGACGGCCGCGTCCAGAGGGGAACGGTCGTCTGTAACAAACGATCCGCGAACGAGTCAGCATAGAGCGGCATCTCGTAACTCTGCGTCTAAGGAAGAACAAGTCAGCATGGAGCGGCGTTTCGTAACTCTGCGTTTAAGGAAGACGAAAAGCTCCGCAGAAGGATTTTGCTCCCTATCCGCACCTTCCATTCGCGTTTGTGACTAGCGCCAGATGCACTTCACCCGTTTGATGGAGACAAGGGGTATTTTTTCACTCAAATCAAACGTAGCTTTGTTCACTTCCTTCTCGTTTTCAGACAGAGAGATCGAAACAGCCCGAAGGCAGTCCCCACGTACACAAGGGCTGATCGAAAAAGGTCTGATTTTTGATTCCATAGTTTTAATCTTATTCAAGTTTGACTCAGTTCTCTCTAGATGTTTTGAAAATCGCAGGGAAGAGCAATTGGTTCCGCTCGTCCCCACAAACTGACGAGGTGACTGTGTTTTATAACGAGGGGAGGAGGGTAAAGGAAAAGATGAAAGAGGAAAGCGAAGGGTTTACCCGTTAAAAGGGGTTCAAGAAGGAAGAACGTACCTTGGCCCCCTTTTGAAACCAGCCCCAGCATCAATCCAATCCGCTCCTCCACGCGCGCCAGCTGGTCCTCCGTCCGCTTCGAAGCGCACGCCACCGCTTCCGCTTTCTCCGCCGCGGGGCTCGGCAGCCGCTCCTCGAGATCGTCTAAGCGTTCCCCGTTCGCGCCCCTGACAAGCGCGAGCTTCTGCGCGAGCGCGCGTTCGCTCGCTCGCATATCCCGCTCTACTTTGCTGACTCTAGCGTCGCTGCCGGCGAGGCCCTGTTCCAGCTCTTGTCGCAGCCCTTCCACCTGCTTCGCGACGTCTCTCTGGCGGCTGACAAGGCCTCTCAGATTTTCCGTTTCGTTTCTGACGCTTGAAGCTTCTTCCTTGCACACTTTGACGCTCTCTTCCGACTCGTTCCGGACGTCCGCAACGCTCGCCTGCAGTGCGGACAATTCTCGCCGCAGGTTTTCCAGGTCCGCTTCGATTTTCTGTGTCCGCATTGCCAGAACGGGTTCGCTGCCGACCGCTTCTTCCGAGCCCTTTGCGGGCCCCGGGCTTTTGCTTTCGAGGGCCAAAACGCGGCTCCGCAACTCTTCCAAGGCAACGAGATTAGCACTCACGGAAATTGCAAGTTTTTCATTGTTGCGTTCACTGTGTCCAAACCCGTTCTTTGTTTCTCGAATCTCCTTCCGTACCCCATCAACCTGTTCTCGGACGCTTTGCATCGCTTCTTGCAACTTCGCAACGTCATCTCCGGCCTCAACTTTAACCCCTTGTCTAACCCCCTCCAAATCTTTCCTAACACCGCCCAGACCAGCCTCAAGATCTCTCTTGCTCTCCATCCTAACCCGCGTTAGCTCCTCCCTAACCCGACCCAGCTCACTCCGCAATCTCTCCACTTCCTTGGACGCACTTTCGGTCCGACTCGCTCCTTCCGACGCTTCTCTTAACTGCTTTCTGGCTTGCTTAACCTCCTCCCAAACCCGGGTCATCTCGAACGACACCATGTTCCGCGTTCTGTCCAGGAGCTTCCCCGCGAGAGACTCCTGCCACGTGGCAGCAGCGGATTGGACGGCGGCGTCGACCTCGGCGCGAATGCGCGCCTGCAGTGCGGCCTCGTCCGCGAAGTGGGGGATCCCCCGGGTCTGCAAAAGCAACGGAGCCTCAGCGCTGCCTCTGGTTGGGGCCTGCTTGTTATTTGTTTGTTAGTGCCTTTGTGGTGTATCTGCTATGCGCACCTGCCAAAAGCTTCCTTTCCGTCGTTCCGTCAAGAGACCAATGGGATTGCTATATTTCTGCTAAAAGTAAAGAGGCAGACCTTTTTTATGATTCTGTCGATTCTAAACAGGAACCTTCATTGGATTGGCAGCCCGGAAAAAGAGACATTCCTCTACTTCCATTTCTTTGTGGTTACCGATGATTGCAGTCGTGTAAAAACAAGAGCTTGATGAGAAGCGGAAGAAGCAGTCAACTTTCGTCTTTTCGACATACTGATTAGAGCACAGTGTGTCGTTACCACCAGTGACTGTAAGCAAGGAGGACGATTGGGCATGATCTCCGATACGATGCTCCCGTCATTTGTATGCAGACCTTTGTTTGGTTCAAAGCACAACTTACTGACTCACAAAAACCATTTTTCCGAGGCGTGAGTTCCGTCGAGCAGAGACTGTTGGCATTGTCACTGCCGGGCGCATAGAGAGAATCTAAAATTGCACGTTCTATGGTTTTTGTTTCAATCAATCTCGCTTTTATGACGAAAGCATGCGGTAAGCGACCCAAACCTTACCTCAACCGGAACATCTCCCATCACGGCGGTTGCCCCCCTCTCTTGCTTTTCTGCGTCTACTTTTGGCGCAATTCTCTTGTCCGTCGCTCGACCTTCAGCCTCTCGGAAGTCAATCCCGGATTCAGCCCCCCTTTTCTGAGTCAGCTCTTCCCCTTGTGACCCCAATCGTTCCTGCCCCCCTTCTCTTCTTTCGACAAACACCCGCCTTTTTGCATTCTCTTCAACGCGCGTGCTTTCAATTTTCTTCACCACTGCCTCTTCGTCCCCCCCCCCCGCTCTCAACCCCGCGTTTCACCCCCCTTCCGGCATCCTCTCTACTTCTCCCTTTTGCCGACTCCGTAGAAACAGCCCAATCCGCTGCCCCAATCTCACGCGCTTTGGTCAGCCAGTCTCCTTTGAGGATGTCCCCAGACGTCCGTCTTTTGCCTTTCCTTTGGACTCTCGTCCCCTGATCCTCTTCGTTCGCCACCCTCCCTTCCTCTTCCAATGCATGTTGCTTCCTCTCATGTACCATCTCTACGTCCGTAGACACTCTTTCGGCTCTCAACTGAAGGTCCGGACCAATTCCCCCTTCTTCGCTATGTACTTCTTTTTTCGTCGCTGCCGCCTGCGCATCCTCCTTGATCCTACCTGCCACCACATCGTCGGCGGACGATTCTTCCACCCGATCGACTACGATTTCGTGTGCAACATCCATTGGACTCAGGAGATCCGTGCCCACTTGACTTTCCGCTCTTCGAAGCATATCAGTTCTGGAACTGGCATCACTCTCGCTCAGCTGCTGAGTAGTGACGTCAGTCTCACTTTTTCGCCGGGACCTTATTTCGACAGCTGCCAGCCGTTTTAGCTCTGCGATGCTGGCAGATCGCCTCCTACCGGTTCCAAGGACTCGCTCACTCCTTATCTGCTCATTGTCTTCTTCCCGCGTGAAGTCCTTTCCTTTTTGTGTCCCCTTATCGCCCTGTCCTTCGTCCTCCATAGGTGCCCCTCCTGCATCGCAATCCCGTCGATTCTCTCCATCATTCCATTCGGCGCTCTTCTGAGCACCCCCGCTGTTGTTGCTCTCCTTGAAGCCAGGCATCTCTCCTTGCTCCCCCCCTTCTTCTTCTCCTGCGGGGTGCCCATTTACGGGAGCAAGTCCTGCGGAAGCTTGTACATCCATCCTGTCACCCGTCACACCAGAATCCAGATGCAAAAGCTGCATCTCGCCTGTGCGCACAGTACCCTCTGTGCTGGACACTTTCTGAGTGACCACCTCAATGGTTTGGTCGGCAAGCAAAGCCCCATTCTGTCGGTGCCTCTCTAGCACATCCGCCCCGAGGTGACCTTCCTGTTCCCTGTTTTTCTGTTCCCTGTTAGAACCAACCTCTGCTAGTTGCTGGACGGCGTACGTCGTGCCTTTCCCCACTTGCTCAGCTTCGCCAGCCAGGCCCGCCTTACAACCAGCCCCACCGGATTCCAGCTGCATCAACGGCTGATGCTCCTCCGTATCTAGTTTCTCGCCGTTCCCGTCCGCCGCCGACGACCGGCGCCAGCTCGGTCGCCTGCCCATCGTCCACTCCGCTCGTGGGATGCTCTCGATCGACTCTTTATGAGCCACGCTGACGTCATCTGGTGCCCGACCATTCTGCTGTCGCCAAGACAACTTCCTAGTACCCGTGAACCCCCCCTTAGAAGCGCACTCCCCACTTGGCTGGAGCTCAGAAGAAGGGTGCGCACTACTGGGATCTCGAGTCGACAGTTCCTCTTCACGAAACATGTCACTGTGACTGGTTCTAAGAGAGGGGGTGCTGCTGACGGAGCCCCTTCGCCGTTGGGCGGCTGCCAGCTGTCGTTTTCGACGGCTGAGAAGAGAGGCGTCGGGCAGCTCGTCGGAAGAGCTGGTGGGAGAGAGGGGCCCATTGCTGAGCTCGGGTTCTGAAAGCCTGCCCATCTCAATGGTGGGAAGAGAACAGACGTTGCTGGCCCCAATCCAGGTGGTAAATTGTGCTCAATGCTACATAAAGCTACTCCTTCGCAGGGGGGTTCTTGCATTAACGCCTCTTGATTCAGCACGACAATCCCCAGCTGAGCCCAACCATGTGAAGTAGCTTTTAGAAACGTGAGTAGCTCAAGATTTTCAGATCTCAAGTCCGTAGTTTTGAAGAGGAAACCCTCAGCTTCAGGAATCAGAATCATTTTTTGCAGCCAGTAAGAGCTCGCCGGCCATTGATTTCTACATCATTGAGCTTCTGCCGCCGCGTCTCTGCTCTGACAGGCTTTCAGTGCAAGCCTTCTGAAGCTGTAGCTCACTTTCAGTGGAGGGAATCTGCGGTGTTATCAATATAATATCGAGTATAATTACCGTCGATTGTTCGGATTGAGCCGATTGACGGTCTAGTTGCACTGACAAACTTGAAACCTGCCCAAAGCTCTGCATGAACATCGGCGCAAAAGAGCTTTTGTAAGCGCGCGGCCGCGCTCAGTGCACCGCGCCGTCCTGCTGTGCTTCAATTGAGCTTTCCTAAAGCGCTTTTTGCCACATGGAATGCGAAGGTAACTGAGAGTTGTCATCGTCATTGCGGGGAGTCATTGCTCTCCATCAGTGACTAATCTGTCTACGATTGCTGCGCACGCTGGTCCTCTGTTGGTTGGGAGGCGCCGTGAAAAGGGGCTGAATCAATGTCTACGCAAAGGGCTTCTAGTTGCAATTTGCCCTTCCACAACCCTCAGCATTTGATTCCTGGGGCGCATAGCCGGCCTCATTTTTCAAAAGGCAGGACCTGTCGTTTGCGTGCGAAAGCTCTGATTAGCGCCGGGATACATTTGCCAACAAGGTTGCCTTCCGTCTCCGGCACAGTTGAAAGCAGCATTAAAAAACAAACATGGGTACAATCCAGCTGGCCCACACTATTAACTGGGGCAATGAAATCATCTAGGAAGGCTGCAGATTGCAACCTTTTGGAGACCTTCCAACCTTGCTGTAGATGCAGCGCTAGCAGGAAAGTCAAATCACGCTTCACACCACAGCCCATCGCCCCACTACATCATCGCCAGAAGTTCCCTGCTGGGGGTTCACTGCAAAACTTAAGGTCAAGGTTTAGGTTAAGGTTGCGCGTTCGGCCTGATGAGAAAGAGCCGCCAGGCGGTGTTTCAGCCGATACCTCCAAGCATGGCAGTGACCGTAGCGCTCCCAATCCTACAACCCCCCCCCCCTCAACCAGCACCAGCACTGCCCCCCTGGAATCCGCAAGCTCCGCCAACCGGCCAAACAAGGCTTCCGTCTCTGACCGGAACGCCTCTGGCTTTAACACCACTGCTTCTGATTCACCAAACAGCCCACAAGTGCCCAACCTGACAGCTGGTGTGAACTGGTACTGCCTCTCGATGATCGGTCTCGTAACGCTTATTGATTTCAGTCCTCTGGGGCCCATCCTTCGGTCCACGTCGGGCTCCGCTGTGCCGTGGATTCTTGCGGCAGTGCAATGGGGCTTGTTCGTGGCGCCGACCGTCAACTCATGCCGAAGCGAGGGGTACGATCTGCGGAGGACATTTGGCATCCAGACGTGAGCCCCACCTTCCTTCTTTACCTTTCCCTTTTAGATTCTCTTCTCCTGAGGTTGGAACCTGGGTTTTCATAGGCTGGCCAAAGTGGGCGAAACCGTCTCGAAAATAGTACAACGATTGTTAAGTGTGATATACCCATCCTTTTAACAACAGGTTTTTAGATGTGGCTGCTGCCAATGTTGCGGACAATCTTTGCAATCTTCTTCGAGAAGCAGTTTAGTAGAAAACCAAAGTCCATATTCTAAAGCGCTACCTTTTGAATGTAAAAGGGGGGCGCCACGATTACATGGACCACTGTCATTGTTCAGCCCAAAGGCTTAGAAGCACCCCGTAAGCCGCTCTTCGTGACCCCTCTGCACTTCAACAGGATCTTCGATAGATTGCCACTTCTTATCTTATCTCGTTTCAACAACGTACCCAACCAAAGAGTAACTTTGGTATATTACGCCCCCCACAACTGTCCAATCACTTCCTGATGTCCAAAGTCTTCAATAAGCAACATTGAAGAGTTCCCTCCAGGTGTTCTCTCCTAGACGTCTTGGCAAGCGCTGCCGTCGGCGCCTCCCTGTGGGCCGTTCTTACTGCAGCCATCGCAGCCCGGGTTGCAGCGGACGGGGGAGTCCAGCTGCCGTCGTCCGAAAGCGTTGTTATAGCTGGTGCGTTTCATAGACCTACCAACGCAGATCATTGTTGCAGATGCGAAATTGCCCGTAAGGCCAGGTCATTGGATGCAGGAGACAGTCGACTGAGCAGACTCGACACGCAACTATGTTGCCTTTGAGGATTCTGAGGGTAAATTACAACCGAGCTGTCCACCCCGCATGCACCCTTTTCATGTTCTTTCTCAGTTTCAAACCCGGCCGTTTTATCCACCATAAGACTAACAGCTCCGTTCTTCAATCAGGTCCTCGCTTGATTGCTAAAGCAAGTAAGCTATTTCCATCCTGATGAGATCCTCGCCGCAAGATGAAGATAATAAAATGCAGAAGAAGACGGACGTTCTGGTGAGAATGTTGGCTCTCCGAACCCCCGCAGACCTCCTCTTTTCGCGGCCCACCTCCGTGGCAGAGTGGGCGTCACTTCTGACGTCAGCGGGCGTGTCGCCAGGAGTTGCAGAGGAGCTCCTATTCCGGGGCTTCCTGCTGACGTCGCTTCGACAGGGCCTCGGTAGGTAAGCGGAGCCGGGCTGACGTTAGGAGAGTGTCTGCTGATATCAGCAGCGCGTCATGGTGACGCCCGGTACGATCCGGGCTCCCTTCAGAAAGTATGCTTTTCCCTAGGCACTGGTCTTTGAGTTGAAGATGCAGCTTTCGGTTTTTGCAGGAGTTGGGGCTCTGACTTGAAATCTTTACCTTTTCGGCGCCAGTCTCACCGAGATTGGGCGTCGCAGATAATGACAACCGCCCAACGATCTCAAGCCACCAAACACTGTTGGGTTTCAAAAGACCAATGTCTCTCCTCGTTCGGCTGCTGTATGCCCTCCCGATCTTGAGCCGCCCCCTTCAAGATGCAATTGATGCGCGCATCTGTTTCTGCCCCGCACGTTTCACAGGCGGTATCGTCCATTTGCGAGCCGCTCCGTCGATTTCTTCTCGCTTGGTATCGTCTTGCAGGGTGGACGCTGTGGTCTTGTGCGCCGCTCTCTTCGGCCTCTTTCACCTCAGCGTCCCCCAATTCTTCCCCACAACAGGTAAGTGCTTCCAGTACTTTTCTGTCCTTTCCTTCTACTTCGTTTTCCACAACACCAATTCTTCTCGTCGTTCAAGGTTGTTAAAGGGGCCCAATGCGAAAGCTGCTTCTTCAGCTCCCCAGAATCGTACTATCCAGATCCGCGACCTGCTTATACTCTCGAACTTCTTCCCATTTCTGACTGAGCCTCTGACTGTCACCTTCTTCCCATCACTAACTGAGCCTCCGACCACCACAAAGATCGACCTTTTCGAACCTTTTGGCCTTTTCCTCTCTCCCACAGTTCTTGGCATAGCCGCGGGCGTCTCAGCAATCGCCAGCGGTAGCGTTGTCGGCCCAATCGCCGTCCACACGGCGCACAACGTTGCGGCGCTGCTATATGGCGGTAAGCCCTTCCGAAAAGCAAAGCACTCTTCTTCGTTTCAATAATACTGCGTTGACGAGGTGGTCTGGGAAAGCGAGAGGAAAACACAGCCTTTGTTGTAGGGAAACGGGATAGGTTCCAACCTGCAAATCGATACGTTTCGATCTTTCTGGCCATGCTTTTGTCGGACAGTGGCCCAAGTCCTCCAGTCGGCCAATTCTGAATCCGGGTCAAGTCGTGACATTGTACGTGGAGGAAAAGTTTCTCCCAGCGAAGAACGTTGCAAAATGCCAAATTTCAACAGCAATCCTGGCCCGCTTATCGCACTTTCCGTAGCGCTTGTCAGGGTGAGATGTGAATACGGATCTTACCGGCTGCCGCGCGGGTGTTCTGCAGGTGTTGCCCCGGGGCACGTCAGCGGCCTGCCCCTGCCCGTCGCCGCGGGGGGCGCATTCACACTAGCACTCAGCGGGGCGTACCTCTTTGTGCGAGCCAGAACCGCTACTCGCGCTGACTGAATCGGCGGCGACCATTTTAAGATCTCAGCGTGTTGGTAAAAAGTGATCTTAGCGTGTTGGCAAGGCAGAGTACACAATGGGTGTAACCGTGTAACGCACGCAATTGGTGGCAGCCGTGATAGAAGACGGTTGTGACCATCACTGAGCGCCTGTTTGATACGAGTGTTTGACGCCGACAACCATGCGTTTGGACATGTTTGAATACCAGACTGCAAGTTGACGCCGCCGTTGATGCAACCTTCACGTCCCAAATTTGACATGGAGGCCTTGCTACAATGTTGCCACGCAGCACAGTTACTAAGCATAACCATGTGGGGAGCTTAGTGCGACGTTTGGATCCATGTGCACGCATGCCGCCCAGATTTGCAGACGCAATTAAAGCACCGAATGGATCAGTGGTACTTTGAATTTCAATCTGTCAGCATGTGCGCACACTGAATGCGCGCCGACCGTATACCGGACGCGACAGTCAACAATCTCGACTCGACATCTCTACGGACAGCTACGGTATGCCAGCCCGTAGCCAATTAATCTCCTGATAATCACCTATAAGAAACTATCGAGGTGAATAACGTTCAAACTAAGCCGCCGATTAATGCCGCCGTACTGAAATAGTTGTCTCCGACCCCGCGTTCAATATAAGCGGCCTACAGCGGCACTGCAGCAACCGTCTCCAGCAACACCGTGGTTGCGTCAGTTGCCCATCATTGCATGGACCAGCATGACGCATGCTCCCAGTAGATATATGTTGCCACGGTGTATGTTAGGTCATCATTTCAGATTTCCGGCCGGAGGAATCCGATCTGGCGGTGTGTGGGCAGGCCTAAGAGGCCAGCTGGCCCGGGCCATGCGCGTATATGTGCTGTCCAGATATATGTCTTAACGCATGAAGACATGTATCGTACGTTGTACGTTAACGGGGACTGCATAACGCCCAACGTCTTAGCAGGACGCTCGGTGAGATCCTCTGCTGTCGTACAGGTTATTCCGGCCCACCAGATTCCGCCCACAATTGAACAATTGTGCAAGCGCAGCCGCGGGGCGGCTCTGGCAGCCATCAATATTCGGCTCAGAACATGCGACCTGTTATGCTGCCGGCGGTAGCTTGCGATTTGGAAAATTTGAAGGTTTGTAGGAGATTACTTTCAGACTGGATTACGTTGATCGACGACATAACACTTGAACGCCGTATGGCCAATATAGTTGACACCAGTAGCTGCTGATTTCTTTAGGGATTAGTGGCGGATCGTAGAGTTCGATCAAGACCATTCGTAAGTCCACTTGTTGCAGTCAATGTGACCGTCTTCCGTATATAAACAATGTGTAGGAACCGTGTTCTGAGTAACTAAAGTAGCAATGGCTACCTTGCTCTACCCTCAAGCAACGCTGACCGGACACCTTTGACATGACCACCTTGTTTTCCTAAAGCACAACAGCACCGTCCCCAGACTCGCACAACACAAACGCCGCACTTTTGCCCAAGTCGGGTCTCACCATCGAGTATCCGTTGCGCACTTGCTTAGTGACTGCCTCCGCTCTTTGCGACTCTACCAAGGCAATGCAGCAGCCTCTAAACCCTGCGCCGCTGAACCTTGCTCCTAGCACGCCCGGCGTGCTGATCAGAATTTGGTACATTTGAATGAGTGGCGTCGAACCTGCACGCCACAAAATGGATGATCAGAAACCAATCTTCGTTTGATCTTCCGTGAAGAGACTGGGGGTTCTGATTTTCGCCAAAAGAAATCGAAATATTTACAAATGAATATGATGATCAGGGAACCAAAAAGCACAAAGAAGAGTCTGAATGCAGGCACTCTCACTTTCCAGACGGCTTTACCATAGCGAATAACCTGCGTACTGATAGATGCGGGTAATGTCTAACGGTCGGGAATCTGAAATGGCCGACCCCTCTGCGAAAAAGAACGCCCACGACCTATTCCAAGTGCAGTGTGTCCGAAAGAATCTGGAAACCCACATTCCTGGTCAACAAAGTCCATCCCTGTTTTTGGACGGGGCTAAGATCGAACTAATCGAGGGTGGTAATGAGTGCAAGCAAACAAACCTCTCCGCGTTGGCCTGCCCGTTTGATGAAGTCCAAAAACCACGCCTGCTTCACTTGTCATAAAAGCTCCGTCAAACTCACCGCACTCGTGATTTATCAATGGAACTCCGCCCCGAGTCTGTCGTCAGCTCAATCCTACAAAAGCTCCGTCAGACTCACCGCACTCGTAGTTCTCAATAGAGCTCCGCCCCGACTCTGTCATCAGCTCAATCGTACAAAAGCTCCGTCAGACTCACCACACTCGTAGTTCTCGATGGAGCTCCGCCCCGAGTCCGTCATCAGCTGCCCAAACAGCTTCAGATCGCCCTTCTCCCAAGCCTCCACGCCCCGCCGTACGCGCGCAGTCTCCGTGAAGAAGTGCTTGGCCCGCCGCGCGATCGCGCCGTTCAGCTCCTCCCGGTGCATGTCATACTCCTCACTGCTGACGTTGCTCAGCGACGCCTTTTCGTCAGCGCGCCCGGCCGCCCTGCGCGACACACTGTAACGTCAGCTTCTTTGGTCGACGAATTTTAATGCGACAACTGGAGCTCGACTCGCCAGTCTGTCTCCCTGAGTTTTTGGTGACCTTGATAAGCGACTACAATCTAATAAGCAACTGGTTTCTGGTGCAAAACCCGCAGCTGCATCGACCTCTTCAAGATTGACAGCTACGTTCGGCAAACAGTGTGGTCCATTTTGACAGACTTGCTAGTCGTTCATGTTCCTAAGGTCCAACAACGATGCTACTCCCGGAACCCTAAACATTACATAAATACACTTATTGGATTTCACTGAACGGGGTCGTCGACACCGTGAACAGAAGGGCAATCTATCAGGCTATACCTGAAAAGTGGCAACTGACGGAAACTCCAACGACCACAGCTGCTGAAAGGCCCCCGACAAGAATCTTTCGAGAATGGGACACTTCATAGAGAGCATCAAGCAGACGATGCTTCGCAGAGACTCCGTGCCAGAACAGTACCCCGAACCTCACCTGAGCAGCGTGGCCGCGGCTTCTTGGCACTCGTCGACCCGCTTGTTGTAGCCCGGGGTGTTGGTCAGCGCTTGCCGCAGGCCGGAAAAAGCGAGCAGTATCCTGTACCCCGGTTTTAGGCTGCTGTCAGAGCAGGGTTGCCGCAGGGAGGGGGGGTCCACCACTCGATGTTGCCGGGTCTGCAGGGGGGAGGGCGAACAATAATATTTAGATACCCGGTTGCGCAGAACTCAAACTGGCCGAGCAAAGAGGGGAGTCTAAAACGAGATACGAGCAGCCAGGAGTGATTAAAAGCAAAAGCGACCACTTTGATCGGCCGAGCGGAGGGACGTCTCCAGATCATCGAACCGACCACACGTGGACCAAGGGGCGCGACCACTTGATGTTGATTGGAGACAAAGTGTCTGGATCTCATCCTGATGTCAACTCAAAGCAAGACAAGCAGAACACAATGAGAGCGTTCTACCCTAGTATATCTACTGCCTGATTGCGACATTCTAGCAGCCGGATTAAGAAATGGAGAGTGTCGTGAGGAGAGTTTGTTCTCATGAATCTCCAGGCAACGAGCCATTTGCGACCCTCCAGCGACCAGTCCCCTGAACATCTCGCTCCTGGAAATTCGCTCACAAAGAAACCACTCACTTTACAGTCGATGAGCGTGAGCCGGTCTTTTCTTGAAAGTAGAATCGCCGACTGGTCCAGCACTCCGTTCCGCAAACCCAGGTATTCATTCTCGATCACGCGGTCCAGCTCGATGTTGTCCTCCTCCGTTATACTATATAACCCGTTTGCGTATTCGAGGGCCAATAGGAACGCAACACCTGTTGCCGCAGACGAACTGACCCCACTGCAGTCGAACCCCTGCGAGCCGTCTATGATGCCAATGATTCCTTCTTTGAGCACGTGGCCTTTTTGTTGTAGAGCATATACTGCCCCCCGGGCGTAGTCACCCCACCGGCCCTCTTCAGATGAGGAAGGGTCGTTTTGTGGAGGCACGTCGTCAACACTGCAAACAAAATTCTCAAATCAGCTCCTCTTTTTCGCTTGTTGTTGGTGACGTTAATAGACGTTAATAAATCTATGAAAGATCGTTGCATGTTTGTGAGTGACGTCAACAGATCAGCAATCTGGAAGCAAGCCTGGCAATTACAACATGTCACAGGTAGTCGACCTACCTGAAATGTACAACACCTCCAAATTGTCTGGAAGTCAATCTGACCTGCAGCAAGACACAGAAAGAATGTTAGAGACAGTGATGCAAGCATTCGAAGACAGAGCGCGCCGATCCTGGACAAGTGACTTGCCCTCGAGATCGGACAGCATGTCGTTTTCAACCTTGGAGATTGTTCTGTCTGGACTGGTTCGAACTCGAATTTTCTCTCTCGACCAGAAAGCAACAGCACGTAAAACATACACAATAACTCCACTGCCATAGAACAATCGTCTGACCACTGGCAAAAAGAAGGGACAACTTCAACCTGCACTTTGGCCAACTCACTGGTCCCATGAAATGTTGTGTGTGCCACAGCTTTGAATTTGTAGAGCATCCGGCCCCTCTCCCGTCAATTCACAAATAGGCCCCTCAGTCGTTCTGACGGCAAGTTCTGATCTACTCCGCAACTTAGCATAGCCACCCGTAAGCCATAGTGACCGGGCTCGGATAACACAGATGTCTGAGCGTGCCTCGACGACTACTATTCCATGCCTGGCCCAGATCTCCTGGTTTCCCCTACTTTCATTTCTTGCTTCTTGAGTGCCTCAGCCTGCACTGCGAGCTCACCTCTGGACTATTTGAAGGGACAAACCCAAGCAGTATCCCAGTATCTAGAGCCATGGCAGTGACTGCACCCCCCTGCATCCAACAGGGGACCCTGTCAGAAGATGGAGAATTGATGCACCTGAACCGCCAGTGGCTTTCACTAGAAAGCTCAATGAGTGGCCAATTGATTGTCTCAGAGCGCACTCCACCCTACACGAACACATCCGAGTCCTGATAGCCGATGTGTTTTTAGAAGCTTGTAAGAACGCGTGCGAGCCCTCTTGATCCTACTCGGAGGTTTTGATAAGAAGTGCACCTGAAGTGCCTTTATAAGGAATGCCTCACAGTCAATCCAAAAACAGCCTCCTACTTAACTAGCTTCACAACGTATCAAACCACACTGTTTACAAAAACTTGCACCCAGGCTCAGCAGCTTTTGCTGCACTGCTCATCGTCCAAGTCGTCCTCCCACGCCGTGATTGATGGTGTCGTAGATCTGGACAAACCAAGGAAAGAGTAATAGCACTTAACAACGGACCTGATGATCAATATGCGCCCCAAGGGGACAGATTCTGTATGGTGCTGCCACCACGCGGATGTCGATCCGCTGCCTCAGCCATCCTGCTGCTTCTGCTACTGCCTCACGGAGCTCATCTAACTGCATGGAAGAAGGGAAGAGGCAATTGAGCACTCTGAAGGCGCCAGGCATACTGTCCTGGACCAGGGACTTACTGCTGGCACAGCAAAAACAACAGGCAGTAGGGTGGCACTGTTAAGAAATCCCCCGGGCTATTGGAGCTGTCTGAAGCGTCAGCTCAATCACTCAACCAAATGTGTGATATTGAATTGAAGTGAGGCAAATTTGGGACACCTTGTTTGAGCCAGCTTGAAGCGGTCTGACAAGACCTCCAAAGGAGGTACATCTTCAAAGAAGCAAAGCAGAGATTGTTGAAACAATTGCCTTAGCTGTGAGATTCCTATTTGTACCCTCCAGAGTGAAACCATGTCGGCTAACAACAACAATGAACAGCATCCTTGAGACCAGGACTCTTTATGCTGAAGGGATATGAGGGTTACTTATAGCAATATGGCAGCCTGGTTTAAATCGAACATGCCGATGACCTCACACGGAAACAAGAGGCGCTGACATTTAATGTCCGGAGCAAACTGGCTTTATTTTTGTCAGTAATTGCGAGAAAGGCCCAGCATAAATTTACAATCATCAACCCAAGTAAATAAGAGTGTGCCATTCAAAATATACAATTCGCAGATCAAGCACTTAAGTAGTAAATGTTTCCGCTCTACTGCGCTAAGGCGGCTTGTGCATTGGCGCCTTATAGCCCCATAGAGGGAGAATCTAGCCTAGCTTTCAAAGCCACAGAACTCTTCTAAGCAATCTCCGAAATCCTTCAAGTTTGTGATTCAATGGCATCAAAAGCTGCTGTTGGCAACTCTCAAAGAAGCTGAACTTGATCTTTGTACATCCATGCGCAAGTGGTTACTAAACGGTCTGTCTGGCGCAATATCAGATCGACAGATATGTGGTGTGTGTGAAAGGGCAACAAGTGTAAGTCCGCTTATGCCTTGATCTCACATTTCAAACATCTAAACATGAACTCATGCTTCAAACATCTGACCATGCACATCAACTTCCAGGGTCTGGAAACAGGATTGAAAACGATCCAAGCCATTGAACCTGGCTATAATCAGTATGAGGACCGAGCAACTGAAGAGGCTCATGTCAAGCTCGTACCTGAGATGCAGACGGCCAGCTTGCCCTACTGCCGTTATCCACCTCAGCATCGCCACTCAGATCCCCATTCCTCGATCCCATTTGTCTCTTGCACCGCAGTTGCAAACCCTTTCCAGAGTGAACTTTCAAAGATGATGCGTGGATAACATCTCTGAGACACGTGTACTTTAATTTTTCCGCAGCGAGCTTCTGGTCTTCTAACACTCTGTGTTTGGGCGCTCGCATCTGCCTGATGGGTATTCTGCACCTGGGTTTGATGATCAGAAGATCTTTATGCAGACACGCACGATACTTCCGTGACACCTTTGACGACGGCCGAACAGTCAGCATTCCTTATCTGCTGCAGTGGCCTGTGCCTCCAAGTTGGCCAGTGAATGTTAGCACTCCCTTTGGAAAGCTAGTGCTAGCAACTTCAATGCAACGCAGCAGATCTTTAAAGGGTCTGGACTCTCGAATACAGTGTACTTGCTGCATTGCATCCCCCCGAACTACGGTTTCCGCTCCAAGATATCTTCCTTCCACGTAATGAAGCAAGACACGAAACCTTCCGTATCATTGTATCTCAGATCAGTATCTGCAGACTGAGGTGGACTGGAGACGCGCAATCTTCCTTCTTCGCAATGCTGAAGAAGGAAGATGGAGACGTTGCATCCAATGAGCCGTCCAATGCCAATATGGAAACTGTCGACGCGACGAAAGAAGACTGGCAAGGAGTTTGGCGACGTGTCACATGTATAGACGTCAACGTTCAATGTGCCCAGAACAGTTCGACGAAATGGCATCTGATGGGGGTAGATTATAGAGGGTGAAAGTCGGGTGAAAGTCACCCCCCAAGTCGCACTGAATCTTGTTCAGGACTTCGAAGCCAGATATATAGATATGATGAATCATATGATCAACCCTGATTTATGATCGACGGTCAGGTAGCTTATGATGGTCGGCACGCGCGTATACCGTGACATCATCAGCGTCAGATAAATAGCGGCCGCGGATTTCTGGGCGAGGCGGCCGCGGGCCAACTCGTCAGTCATGCTTTCGCGATCACCAAGGGGTTTGGAAAATTGTGCGCGCGCTCGCATTCTCGAGGCTCAGTGAAAACATGCGCCGCTGCGCCGCGCCGCGCCAGGTACCTAGTAGTATGTTGGCTTTCAAGTTTGGCGCCTTCCAATGGACTCTGAGTCCTATAGCTGGCGACGCTGCCCGGCATGTCGAGCTACGGTCCTCTCCACGCCTGAACCCTGGACCCCATTGCAGCCTGGTTCTCCCAAGTCTGGCGAGGCCTGTGTAAGAAACCCGCATCATGTCTGCGAAGCCCGGACGGTTGCAGAAAGGTGCAACCCAACCAGGTTTCTCCCCAAACCGCGCCACCAAGGCGTCCGCTGCGCGCGCAGCATTCATCGCGTCGGAGCTGAAGGAGAAGGCTCCGGCAGTCCTTGAGCTGCCGGAGGAGGTCCTCTGCAGAATTCTGTCGCACTTGCCGGCGGTGCATGACGTGCTCAATTGCGGTCAGGTCTGCAAGGATTGGCTCAGGGCGCTGCGCTCGGATGTGGTGAGTCTGTTGGAAGGTGGCGAAAGCTTTGAGCCGCAGAGCAGGGTTTCAGCTCCAAACCAGTTCCTGGCGTTCGCTATGTATCGTTATGGTTCTTACGTCGGTGTCCAGTAAGATGCTTCCATGGGGCTGGGTACCTATGCATTTGACAAAGGTCACTTACAACTTCCTTGAATCCCTAAAAAGTGGTCATGTTTTACAATCAGAGGGCCTTTGATGTCCTTGTCAGCTTTCTGATTTCAGCGGCGAGATTCCATGCAGGCTCTTGTCTCCATTGAGGTTTTCAATGCTCATTCATCAGAAGCATTAAGTCAGCTGTGGAGACTTTTGAATTACTGAAGAAAAGTCGAACCTTTGAATCATTCTTGCCACAGCTATGGCGAGGCCAGTACGCCAGGACCTGGGGGGCCGAGGAAGCCGCACGCGTTGCCAGCTCCATTCTCACTGCGGCAGAGACACGCAGAACAGTGGAGAAGCTCTTTCAGAGTGCAGATCCGCCACAGACTAAACCTCCCAACGACCTAAACGCAGTATCAGAGGCGGGCAAGAAGGGGGGCACTCCGGGAGTAGAGACTCCTGAAGTATCTGACACTGGTTCAAAGTTTCCTGTAAAATTGGAGGATGCCACCGCGGTATCAGCGTCACGTGTGGCAAGGGGTGTTGGCAGGCTGACGCTTTCTTCTGGGAGCAAGAGGAGAAGTAAGGAGAAGCAGACTGCTCAGGAGGAGAAGCCGGCGCATGGTGGCTGTGTTTGGCGGGATGCGTTTGCTGCGCGGTTCAAGGCCGAGGTGGGCAAACAGCGTCAATTTTTCAGTTTTCTTACTTTGTTGCTCTTTTGATGTCGACTTGTTAGGTTGCGAAGGGGTATGGGAAATCTCTTCGCCAGCTTCATGCTGAGCTGACGGAGCGTGGCGAAACAGTTTCTTGTTGCCTCCGATTCTTATCAGGTGGGAAAAGCAGAAGCTATGGTTACTCGATCTCATGGTCAAAGCACAATAAACAAACCGGTCTTATGCTCTCTCTTGTCCTGCCCGCAGAAAAAGACATTCCTTGCTTCAGAGATCAAGCTTGCGGAGAACCTTAGACTCTTAACACGGAGATGGGGCTCCCACAACCGAGGGGGCCGGGCTCTGGACCCCTGCCCAGGGATGGCTCGGCTGGTGGAAAGACTCCAGCTGCGCTTTGAGCTGCGGATAAACAACGGGAGGGTGATCTCCCTGGCAGGTGTGCTGACTCGTGCAGGGATGATTGTTCCGAGGGTTTGAGCTTTGAATTCTTTTGATACAGATTATTTACGCTTTTGTGCTAGGTCTGTGGGCGTGTACTTTTGAGCTGACCGAACAGTCCTCTTCTGTGTTGCATACGCATTGTATTTCGGTTGTCCATTGTCCATTGTAGATCGTCTTTCCTTTCCGACTTGCTGCTATGACGGGGTGGGGCTAAGAACCATCCAAAAGGATCTCGTTTCCCTGCGTGACAGTCAATCTCTAAGACTCGGATCCACCGCCACTTCTCGTGCCGCCACTTCTCGTAAAATTCTTAGCAAGGTCCTCGAGGATTTTGGGACACATGGTTACTGCGGTCCTTGAGCCCCCGTCCTTGTGCAGCCGCAGGGCGACACTCCTACCAATCGTTCCCCACGTCGCTATCGCTGAAGTGCCCCCCGTCGGCGTTGGGGCGGGGCTTGACAGTCCAGAAGCTCCTAAAAGTGGAGGTAAGACTTGGGGTTGCGGATTCTCCTTGTGCTTCTGAAGCGCGCCCGTGCACTTGTGAAGAGCTCAATCCATGAAGCATCAGCACGCAAGTATCGATGAGGGCAACCGTACGTTTTCTGTTTACGATGGAAGACCCCCATTTTGACCACAGTGTAAGCAAAACCACCATAGGTTAACTCAGGCCCTTAGATGTGACTTCTTGGAATACTCCTAGTCGACCAACTGCCTGGATTTCAGTAAGCGTCACAGCTTGGAGATCTCCGGCCTAACCCTTGTTGCCTTGCTGCAGCAGCGTCGGTCTGTCTTTGCTTAAGGAAGAGTCTCTAGACTACACAATCTGTCATGTAAGATTCACACTCTTTGGTCCTAGAAGTAGGTTTTTGCATTACTTCATCCTGGGTTCTTATGCGGATCGGCATTCTCGTTCAATCGAATCGACGGTGCGCCGAAGTGAGACTCTTGCTCCCTGCAGGTGACAGCTGTCAGCGAGCGACTTTACTCCACGGTCCGACTGCTCCAGCTCGACTCCAGCTCCGTCAGAAGAAGCACGCTCGTCGCCGAAAGCCCCACCCTGAGCCTGTACGAAGCCTCCCTATACCCAGCCTCCGCCACCGAAGGCGGCTCTCTCGTTGTTGGAACCTTCGGTCCCGGCGACAATTCCCAAAATTCGTTTACCACCCCCCGAAAACGTTCCCTCTCCGCTCAACAAGGCCTTCTAGACTCCGAGGACGGGCCCACCGATCGAAGCGGGGCACACTCTAGGGAAGGGGGCGCGGATTCGACGTCGAAAGAGGGCACGGAATCCGGGTCGGGGCGCCCGCCCGCGGGCGACGAGGAAGTCGTTTTGCTAGTGTTAAACATTCCTTATGTGGACGTACTGTGGAGAGTAATGACACTCGGGCCGGGCTACGGGCCCCGGGAGCACCATCGAGCCTCGGCGCACGACACGGATCTGCAGTACGGTGAGCGGGACTGCAGATTTCGATGCTCGTTGTGGTGGACGTAGGATGAGTAGGGTCTTATTTCCGAAGATGAGCGGGCTCGGAAAGACGTTGTTCGCAAGTTTGGCCCCAGTCTTCGTTCGGCGTCTTCCTAGTTCTCAATCTTGTCTGCTCTCTTCCGAGCCTCCGAGGTTGCTTCCTTTACATCTTACCAATTGTCGGATATAGTTTCTCATTCCAAAGGCTCAGAATCATCAAAGGCTCAGAATCACCATCGGTTCTCATTCCAAAGGCTCAGAATCATCAAAGGCTCAGAATCACCATCGGTTTCCTCGTTTACGGTTCAGATCACCGGAAGTTCAAACGACTCTTGTCGATCTTTGTGCAGGGCTGCACGACTATCATGCGAGCGCGCAGATCCGCTCCTTCGGGAAGCTTCTGTGGTGCCAGGACTTTTACCGCTGCTTCCACAGCAGGCGAGAGTCCGTTCCGGGCGAGAAAGCGGTCTTTGTCTTCCTTCCAAACGAGGGCGGAATGGTGAGTGCCGTACCAGGTCCGGTCTCTCTGTGCCAAAACGACTGGCGACTGTTTCCGTGAAAAAGGAAAGTTTGACTTCAGGAAGCGCGAGGCACCGATGCACGCGGGGACGGCATCGGTGGTGGGACGACACCAGTACTAGCAGGTGGACGTGAAGTGTCGACCGTGAGCTGAGTTCTGTCTGGAGTCCGTGTCAGGTGTAGAAGGAAAGCCTGGAGCCAGCCGCACGTAAGGTGCTATTTGGCCTAACTTAAGCTTTAATTATGCTTAAAAAGTCAGCGCCGATCTTGGATTATAAGTGGCGGCAGCTGCCGGTCCAGATGTGCACAGGTACATCTTTTGGCAGACCAGAAGACAAAGGACTTGAGGGATCCGAAGAGACTAAGGCCCTGTCGATCAAAGCGTTTGCATGAAACCCCTGGCAGCTTAACTAGCTGACCAAACATGCCAGCAAGAGTATATAATTGTCACTGGCTCTGATACGAGACAGTCAAACAGATTCTACACGTCTTGATTCACAGCTGTATGTTGTGAATGTTACCATTCGCTGGGTCCATTCCCGCCTCTGAGATCGTAGACTTTTGGCTCTCTAAACCAAAGTCAGTGCTTCTTGACCCACGCCTTGATTCGCTAGCGGAGAATCACCCGTTCCTTTCCTCAACCGCGGCCTGCGCGCTTCCAAAGCGCCACCAGATTGGTCTGGTGCACCTTCTGAAATAGGTAGCAACTTTGGCTCTCTTAACCACAACCCGTGCTCGTCTAAGCCGCCTGCGGAAGCTTACCCGGTCCTTCTCCCCACCCCAGCCAGCGCTCTCATAACACGTCCCCAAGCTGGCCTGGTGCACCTTTTGTTTGGATAATTCTTTGGCCCTCGTAACCCGTGCTTGCTAGCCATCCCTTAACCCGCTCCCGAAACTATTCCGGCTCCTTTTCACAACCCCGCAGCCCGCGCTCTTCCAAGGCGTCCTCAAGCTGGCCTGTCGCACCGAGGCCTTCTCTTAATCGAATTCGGGACTCCTTAACCAACCCATAAACCTGCCCGCTTAAATTAAACCCGTTTCTTTTTGCTCCAGCGCGCGTTCTTTCAAGGCGTCCCCAAGCTGGCGTGGCACACCGAGGCCTTCTCTTAACCAAATTCCGGACTCCGTAACCAACCCATAAACCTGCCCGCTGAAGTTAAACCCGATTCTTTTTGCTCCAGCCCGCGCTCTTCCAAGGCGTCCCCAAGCCGGCGTGGCACACCGAGACCTTCTCTTTATTACATTCCGCGCTCCTTAACCAACCCCTTAACCCGCCCGCGGATTGGAAGTTTTGACCCCCCCCCAAAGCCCGCACTCTTCTAAGGCGTCCCCAAGCTGGGCTGGCGCACCGAGACCTTTCCTTAATCACATTCCGTGCTCCTTAACCAACCCACAAACCTGCCCGCGGAACTTAAACCCGTTTCTTTTTGCTCCAGCCCGCGCTCTTCCAAGGCGTCCCCAAGCTGGCGTGGCGCACCGAGGCCTTCTCGGGTGAGCTCCCCGGGGCCCTGGTGCTCGACTTTGTGCTATGGGACCAGAACAACGAGGTGGCCTGGCACTGCTCCAAGGTCGTCGCGACAGGGCCTCAGCCCACGCCTGCGTCGCCCGAGGTACGTTTGGGGGAATGTTTAGAAGTGCGCGTAGGACGCGCACACGTTCTTTCCAGATTCCACAGGACCGCGACCCTCATCAATTCGCCGGTCGACATTTCGACGGGAAGAATTAACGACGGTGTTGGTGGTTACGCCTGACGTCCGTTGATTTCCGCCCATTTCGAGGGATGGACGCGCTGAATGTCGAGCAGCTGATACCGGGTTTGCTAAGGTCACCGACTTTACTCGGCGGTTTGGGTTCTTCATTCTGCAAAAGAAGTAAGTTGAGGAGCGTCTTCGTGCGGCAGTCTTGAAGTCCAGCACAAGGGAGCAACTATTCGGCGCCTAAAAATTGGCCTTACACGGAACTCTGAGTCCGATCTTGGACAGAATGCGTGTTTTCTACGTATCTGAAATTACTGCAGTCTTTGACACAGGTGAACGCACATCCTTCGAAAGGGTGTTTGAGTGCAAGTAAAACCTGCTTAGAACTTTTGTTTGCCATCGTCGACTGGCGACAATCTGGCGACAACCCTAAAACCCTAAAATCTCACATGAAGGACGCGGATTCGTGCCTGCTTGAACCGCGTGCTTGCATTTCGTTTATCTTCTGCTATCATTTCAGCTCCTGACGAGTATCCTTCGGAACCAGAAAGCAAAGAATGTACGCGAGGAACTATGGACGAGACTACTTTCAAGTCAGATGTGGTCCATAAGCCGATGCTCCTGTGTGCAGTTCGGGCTGCCGTACCTAGAAGGGGAGTGCTCTCACGCCGTCATCGAAGACGCTGCACGAGGGGTCAGCCTGTCGTTGGATCTGCGGGTCGCATCGAAGGATCCCAAGAAGAGGGCGGGCGAGGACATTCTTCCGCAAAGTGCAGTAACAGGGCTGCGGCTCAGTCTTGCCAGACACTTCTTGTCGGAGTGGTTTGGGGTCGCGAGGATCTGATCTACAAGCAGCTGCCAGGGAGGGCCACCTTTCTCTTTTTCGACTTCGTGGTTTTATGAGCAATTGCGGCATGAATGCTTGCGCCTGTATCGTTCATCTACATATCTGTCGGAGTTTCAGCGATCTGCTCGTGTGAAAGTATGTTGAAGTAGTTGGCGCATATCCATGGGGTGTTCGATTGACCACATGGAAGGACGGACTTGCCAATTTCTGGGCAAGAGTGTCGTGCACCATTGTAAGGTTTTCACGATGCATCGTGTAATTGGACAAAGGTCGGAGCAATCGTGCACATATGTGGGCTGCCATTGTACATGTATTGTAGGTCATGACATATTTTCGAATTTGCCACCCTACATCTTTGATAAAGCTTCGACAAGTAGCACTCGGTATCATACCCCACACATAGATCCACGCCTATCCTGCAAATAGAGGTATTTTGTGATGGAGATTCAGAAAGATAAGGTTCACCGAGTGGGTGGCTAGCTCGGCGTGCAGATCAAGCACGTCACACGGTCTCATAGGTTATGGAAGGGCTCCAACCGGTTGGAGCCCTTCCCTTTCATCCAAGCTTTTGGTCGCGGGCCCGCAACCAAAAGCTTCCAGAAAATATCCATTCATACTGGCAATGATGGCGGCAATGCACATATACTCTGCATTTATGCTCATCCGATCTCGTGCGCCGATCATATAAGGTGCCAGTGTCTTGGGAGTCCCGGTGTCCACTCATGGTGCGCACCATTGCATGATCTATGCAGGTTTGCAAGTCTAGCTCAACTTGAAAAGATGCTGCCCATGGAGACATGTACGTGGTATCGGCGGTACAGAGCTTGAATTAAGGTGGTTTGAGAGAGATTGACAAACGGTCAAGCAGGCCTGACAGGCACTGAGCTTGTTGGCTGGCAAGTATAAATCGGGAAGCTTGACCTGTTGTATCGAATAATGAAAGACTGGATTCAGACGAGCTGGGATGCTGTCTATGATTTAGTATGCCTAGTCTGCGCTCTGCTGGTGTTTCAGACCCAGCTCGTGATATTGTCGCGTGCGAGCATTACTTGGATTTATAAAGCTTTCACTCGAAACACCCCAACCCCCTATCCCCTCCCTTTTCCCCCCAACGACCTTGATCACAAAAGAACCTTGAAACCACCTTAATCATTTATCTACGTTTATTCCCTCACCCGCCGCTGCTCCAGACACAAATCAATACCTCCCCCTGCCCCTGAACCCTCCCCCGGAACCAAACCTTCCCCCCCCTCCCCCTAGGGCTCCCGAAACCCCCCCGGCCGCCGCGGCCCCCACTGCTCTGTCCCCTGCCGCCTCCGTACCCCCCCGAGCTGGCGCTCTCGGGCCTCGCTAGAAGAGCCGGGAGTGCCGTCGCAATTTCAATTGTGACCGCGGCCTGCCAGGAGGGAGCCGTCTCTTGCTCCTTCGTGGCCGCTGCAGGGAAACAGAAGCTCGCGTCAGAGAGCTGCAATCGGAACTCAACGGCTTTGGTAGGTCGACACCGATCGCGTCCACTGTACCAATTCACTTGTCAAATTCAGTGTCCTTGCAGGTTGGGGCGTCTCTCGAACCGACACCGGAAAATACGACATGGCACAGAAAAATGACTACAGGAGTGCTCGACTGGAATGAACCTCTAGCAGAATCTTCGGAAGTGCCCGGAAGCAGCAAACGTTAAGCAAACTGCAATTGTCCACTCAAACCCTCGTCCCTAACAATTGACGGTGACGTACCTGCCACGAAGTCCTTGGCCAGAGTGGTGGGCACGTCGAAGACCGCGCCCTGCCCGTCCGCAGTGAGGCTCATCCGCCGGACGTCCGACAGCGACTCCTCTGGCAGGCACTTGCGCAGGTAGTTCCACACGAATCTGGCGGGAAGGAAGCACTGTCCAATCAGCCAAAAATGTGTTTCGACCGTCTTGGCACTCCTGCCTATTCCACCATGCCCCCTTTTGAATATGCTTCTAGGAAGCCTGTAGGCCTGGAGTTGCTCATTTGTTGAATGCAGCTCCGGTCAGAAAACTTGATCTTTGGTCTTCGAATAGCGCCCTGCGATTAGGTGCTGAGATTGCTCCTGAAACGTTCATTTCGTCCAAGCCCCATGAGTCCGCGAAGATGCAGGACGCCAGGTACAGGACGACAACCTCAAGGGACGTCTAGGAGAAGCCGCCTCCGCCGAATCCGCTGCCGTCGCCATCTCCGTAAACGTTGTTTTCCAGGTGACGACAAGCTGCCCCGTGCAAATGCGCGGCAACCCTACAAAAAGGGTCCAAAGACTGCTATATCGGTGAAAAGACACGGTAACTAGGCGCGGCGAGAAGAAACTCACGTGGGCGTCCTGACGGCGCTGCCGGCCTTGAAGTGCAGCGTGGTGGCGTCCTCGTGTGACGTCAGCAGGGACCGCTGCTTGAGCTCGGTGTGGCCCGCGATCTTCGCGAGCGCCTTCGCAAGCGCTTGCACTGGCGTCACGCCCACCTCAGCGAGCAGCGTCTCGGCAGCCTCCTGGAACATCGGGATGACGCTGCACAGGAGAGTGACACGTGTCTGGCGGGGGCAAATGGTGGTGTTGTTACGACGACAATCATGGCTCTCGTCGCGAGGTGCTCCCCATTCTGAACCTGCCCTGCCACCCGAATCAGATTTGAGTATCACAATCGATGCCAAGATAAGCCTTTCTCATAAGGCATTTCTTTATTTCTAAAACCTGCCCACTTCCCCGGCATCCTGCTAAACACTTGAATTTTTGCGTCTTTGGACAAGTCGTACGCCTCCCTCCTCTCCAGAACACCAATCCACACTCTTCTCTCTAATAGACCGTTCGACCGAAGCCAAGACAACAGTAGCCTCAGACGCTCGCGACCTCTAAGTCCACACGTCCAAAAAGCTCACGGAAGAAAATAAATAGCAGCGCCTCACCTGTCGTCCACTTCCCGCACCCCACTCAGCGCCCGCAACGCGCTCGCCTTCGCAATGTCCGCCGGCGCGGGCGGCGTTATCCGCTCGAACTTGAACCCGGCCTTCCTCTCGATGATCGGAACCATGTACTCGTGCTTCCTCCCATATAGCATGACGCTAATGCCAGTGTTTCCGGCCCGCCCGGTTCTCCCGGACCGATGGATGTACGTCTCGGCGTCGCGCGGCGGCTCGCACTGGATGACGACTTGGACGTCATTGATGTCGAGCCCGCGCGCGGCCACGTCGGTCGCGACGAGCACGTTGAATTTGCCAGAACGGAAGCCGGCGAGGGTGGTCTGATGAAACAAGAGGAGCGCTTTAGGGTACCGAGATTCGAATGTTAGGATTCTCCGTACTTTGAAGCTTTAGGCACGTGGTACGTTGAAGAGACGCCCGCGAGCACAATGAACCTGCCGGACGCAAGCCAGCGAGAGTCGTCTGGGAGGCAGAATCGAGCGGTTCAGGGGTCGCAAGCTTTTCGGGTTCACAGCACTTAAGACCGTCTGGGCAGATTCTGCATCAGAGGCGCCCGCAATCACGCTGAGCTTGCCCGAACGGAAACCAGCAAGAGTGGTCCCGTGAAACTATGAAATTGTGCTAAAAATCCAGAAACTAAAATTCCAAGTACTCTACAGTTGGGCAGGTGCTATACCACAGAGGCGCCTGCAAGCAAGAGCGTTCGGACAGAGGAGAACTCGAGATCACAAATCCAGCTTCACTGCATGCAGAGCTTGTCCTCTCGGCCGCATCAGGAGTAATCCAAAAGCTTCTGTGGTCAAGAACCACTCACAGACTCCGTTTGATATGACAAAGACTAATACGGGCGACTAATTCAAGAGGATAAACCACAGCCGTCCACGTCCGTTCTCCCAGTCCCAATCCGGAACTGAGAAAGGCGTTTCACCTCCCAGTCCAGTCCCCAGGAAACAGAGAGAGTCAACTCCTCAGATTCTGGTTCAAACCACCTTTCTTCTCTGAAGTACAGCCTGCAGGGTGTCTTCTCCCTGTAACCCCATAATTGGAGACGTCTGAACTGTCACCACGTTCGACTCCCACCCACGTCTCCACTGTTCTTTACTAGACCCAAGTTCAGGGTCTCTCAAGCCCACTTGATCTCATATGAGAGAAGCCTAGATTCTCTTGTGGCCTCCCCATGTTTGCGGACCAACGGACTCTCCTGCGACCTTCACTATCAAATGAACGGTTGCACATATTCCATCCCCCTCTCACCTCACGCTGCGCCTGCGCGATATCCCCGTGCAGTGCGCTTGCGCTGTCCGCCAGCGCCACCGCCAGCTCGGTCGCGTCCTTCTTGGTCTCCGTAAACACGATGGTGCGCCCCTCGCCACTGCTGTAGCACCGGATCACGTCCTGGACCACCGACGCTCGCTGTGGAACAGCAGCAATGACGTCAGTGCTGATGTCAGAAACGTCCAACTCATTTAAGGACTCGTAGTTTAGCCTCAGTCTTCGTCTACCATGCTTTGCAACTTCGAATGCCATGATACTGCCCATCCAGATAAGTCCTACAATTCAAGCCCTTCTGCAATGATTTACAGGTCGACACGCTTTTGAAAAGCCTTCCTCGAACAACTCTCTGTATCTCTCCTCAAAGAAACCAGAAACAAGTCGCAGCTGCCAAGCAGACATTTGGCTCCAACGGGCGTCTAAGATACGGCCGCAAGACTTCCGCTACCTGCGGGAGAAGGATCAGCTCCAGATACAACACATATCTTCTCGGATTGACGCCCTGGAACAACTTAAGAAATCTGCAGTCTAATTCCTTGCAGCTTCAATTCCAGACAGTCAGGCAGTATGACCCTATCTCAGACTAAGAAAACCCAAAACTGATCATCCAAGCCCCGTACCTGGGTCCAGTGGCAGGGCAGCAGGAGATGCTGTACCGACTTGCTGGCCTTCATCGCCTCGTTCCCCACCAGGTCCACCGTCTTTCTACTGTCCTTCAGGAAGCGCTTGGAAATCTCGCGCACCCAATCAGGCATTGTGGCTGAGAAGAGCAGTGTCTGCACCTGCTCCTTATCGTCCACCGCCCCTGCAAATAAACTGTCCATTCAGGCGGGTGTTCTCAACGGGCGTAAATGCGCAACTTTCCTTCCTACCCAGTGATTGTCGGATATCTGTTTTGTCAGAGTTTGTCGCACCAGTCGGATTTAGACAACCAGAGCCTGAGCATTCAACCCTGTAGTCCTAGACATAATACAACCAGAGCCTAAGCATTCAACCCTGTAGTCCTAGACGAAAAAAAGTGCAGCCCCATGTCCGCCAGAACTGGGTTGAGCAAGTCGTCCGTCACCCTGTCACACTCTGTCCCCATGACGCCCCCATCCTGTAACCCTAATACCCAACTTTCTAAACCCTACTCCTAACAAATTCCACACTCACCTAGGATCGTCTCGACATCGTCCACAAAGCCCATGTTGAGCATCTCGTCCGCTTCGTCCAGCACTCTAAATTTGAGTTTCTTCAGATCAAGGGCCCCCTTCTCAAGGTGGTCCTTGATCCGCCCGGGGGTCCCAACCACGACGTCAACGCCACGCCGCAGTGCGCTCGTCTGAGGGGGGAATGGAGCACCCCCGTAGACGCAAAGAGTGGATAGGCCACAGGTCTGGCCGAAAGCCTCAAAATCTGTGTGTACCTGGGAATGAGAAAGTAGATATGGTGGGTCAATAAGAGACTCCTCTGGCAAGAACACCAGACTGATTTAGAATGAGGATAAGACACATCGGTAAGAGGACTGGGGATCCATCAAGTGAGAAGTCATCTTTCAGTAGAAGCCTTGAGGATAAAGAAGTCGATAATTCAGAAGCCCCAAATACACACAAGCATGGTAGCCTGCAAGACTGGCTGAAACCCAAGGTCACAGAGGGGAGCAGTGCGTAGAGATGGCATCAGCTCGATCAAGAGAAGTACTCTGTACAAATGTGGGCTCAAACAGAGCATCTTGCAGTGCTGAGGGGCCTCGCGATTGTACCGATCTTCACTTTGTGCCAAATAATGGTTCAAATCCAAAGAACGAGACCTTTTTCATATGCACGCCCGTGCACATTACAGGCATGGTTGAAAATGACCCAGAACGTAACCCTAAACCCTAAATGCACTTCGATGGCAGTGGTGCGAACACAACCTGCGATGATCTGAGAGCATCGCTTCGATCCCCTGTCCTCAATCCCTGCAGAAACTTTGACACACTCCTGAAATAAGCAGATCTCAGCAGTATCAAAACTAGGTTTTTTACTGAAACGTTCCAAAAAGCTCAGATTTTCACCCAGTCCATCGTGCCAGCTCACCTGTTTTGCCAGCTCTCTAGTGGGCAGCAGCACGATAACACTTGGCTTCCTGCCGTACTGCCGCTGGCCCCTCAGCTCCGCAGGACTAGACGCCGCCCGCAACAGCTCCAAAAGAGGCAGGACAAACGCCAGTGTCTTGCCCTGAATAGAAAAGGCCAGTGACCGTTAGTAAGTTCCAACTCTTACAAAGCAATGGTGGTCGAATGTGGGGATCATGGCTATGACTTTCTCCGCCAGCTTCTTCAAAGTCCTCTCACAAGATCGAACACCTTGATTATTGTCAGCGCTCTGCTGCAGGCGCATAAATGAGTACCGGGTTACCACATTGACATCAAGTGGGGTTGGACAGGGACTAGAAAGACAGAGAGCAGTCTATGGGCCAGCGCCCAAATTAGGGTTTGATCAGGTTAACAACCATTACCAAGGTGGTAATGGTGTCCACTATACTCAGATCCAGCAAGACAGGGCTGCAAACAATAGCAACTGTTGTGAAATTACTTAGCGCATACTCTTTGAACTGGTGTGCAACAAGTGACACTGCGACATCACCATCAAGAATCAAGTCCACATTGCAACTCAAACTAACTGAAAACAAACAGAAAGCAGACTTACCTGGCCAGTCCTCGCTCTGCCCACGAGGTCTGTTCCGTCAAGCACGATGTCAAAGGTCTTGGCCTGGATAGGGAACAGCGCCTCGATCCCCTTTGTTTTCAACTTTGCAACCACCTCCTTCGAGATCTTGAAGTGAGAAAGGTGGTTGGGATCATCAGCGGGCACAGGCTCCTTCACAGAATTGTCGCTCTCCTCTTCCTTCTCTGCTTCACCTTTCTCAACCACCTTCTTCTTCTTCTTCTTCTTTGGCACCGCTTCCCCATCCTCCCCCTTTGTCTTCTTCTCAACCACTGCCTCTTCTTCTGAGCTCGCCTCAGCTTGCTTCCTCTTCTTTGACTTTTTTTCCGACTTTGGACTCGCTTCTGCGAGCTCAACAGTCTCTGTTTTTGACTTCTTCTCTTTCTTGCTTTTCTTCTGCTCGACCACCTCCATCACGGTGTCCGGGCTCTCCGCCTTTGCCTTCTTTGACTTCTTCACGCGCGGAGACTCCATTTCTGTGACAGCCTCAGGAGCCATGACAAGTCCAGGCATGGTGGAACACCCTAATCAACGAGTTTCTCACAGAAAGGCGCGCGCTCTTTGTTCGTTCTGGAAAGAAGTCGAGATCTGTTGAAAGCCTGAGGCCCAGGGCTGCAACAACAGAGCTTCCACGGCCATCTTGGAAACTGAAACCCTCCTGAGTCTAACCCGCGGTTACCTGCTTCTGCTGTCTGACAGGTTCTACGACGAATCTGACTGATATTGATAACCGTAGTACCTAACCCATATCACGCATGGACTCTCCAGACTCGAGCTAGGACTAGTCCACAGCTGTACGTCTATTAGTATGAGTACCTTGTCCTAGTGAGCGGCAGGAGGAAGGAGGGAGGCCGCCATTGCAATTCGCTTCTCGAATCGAGTGTGCCCTGGAAAGAAGTCCGCGATCAAGCCTTCTGTTCTTGCTCTCTTTGACACCGGCTGGTGAAACTTTGCGCTTTCCAGTTTAGTGATTTTGCTGCATGAGTGGTTTTGTCAACAGCGTAGGCTTAGCAATCTACCGCTTGCTCCAAAGTTTCTCCATCATTGGGACGCAATCCAAGCAATTAACAAAGCATTTGTATACGAACCGCTTACCTTCAGGAGCGCTCGCTTTCAGAAGCTGCCGCCACAAGGATTCAAGGAGCCAAAGCAGATCAGCGGAAACTTTCATCGACGCACGCAGAAGCAAGAGGAGAACATATCATCAGCAACCAATCAAGGCATCAAGTCAGCAAATAATTGACACATCATTTGGATCATCAGGAGACGCCACACGATGTTGCTACGGCTGCGTAGCCGTGACGGCCTCGAGCGCATCCAAGTAGATGACCGCGCCACCGTCGGCGATCTGCAGCAGAAGATTGCGGAGCAGCTCCAAGTGCCGGTCAGCAACCAGGTCCTCTCGCAGGACATAAAGTTGCTTGTGTCCAAGACGCCAAACGAGTTTGCTGACATGCGCGATCCGCACCGGAAGCTGAGCCAGCTGGGGATGAGCAACGGCGCCATGGTGTTCTTGTACTACTCCGGGGAGCGGCAGATTGCAGGTGCGCCCTTTTGGTGCCAGGAAAGCAGACTCAGCCCGCAATTGCTCAGGCGTTGAGCAATTTTGCTGATGGACTGCTTCATGGAGATATTGGTGGAGCGGGATATCTTGTGGTGCACCAAGAAAGATCTGTTTCTCGCTTATTGCGTTCTGTGAATTTATTCAAAGGAATGTTCATTGTGCTGAGTTGGATTATCGGATGTACTTTTCTGTGATTGATGTGCTTAGGGAAAGTGCACAGCAGGAGTATGCTGCTTGCAAAGGGTGGTGCAAATGATGCCTCAGTCGTGGCTGCTGGAAGCAAGCAAATTCTTGATTGTTAGGGCTTCATGCAGTCAACTGCTTCTTTGACAATGGAGTGCTGATGTTCTGCAGTAGTTATGAGCGCTTCCGTTCGCCTCGTAAAAAGGTTTGGGGCTCTACTCTCTTCAAAAACAGGGTCAGTCGTGCAGGACCACTCTGGTCAGGAGGCCAAAGGCTTCTTCAGAGGCAGACCAAAAGGTTTTTGGCCGCTGTACAAAGCTTTCCGCGTCTCGCCTTTTGCTTTGTTGGTCCACAATTGACTCCATCACCTTTCTGACTGGATGCTTTGGTTGTTCCAATTGCAGACTTGTCCAGTAACCCTGTGGGCCAGGTTCTGACTTGATGGAATTATGAGGCAGCAAAAGAAAGACGTGTGAAGTGTCAACCTTTTGTGCTTACCGCTCTCTTGAACCTCAATCGCAGGCCCGTCCAGCCAGCAGCCGAAAGGCTTCTCTGGCGGCAAGATGACGATCGACGACATGATTGCGCGTCAGACCCGCATCGAGCGCCAGGAAGACCCCCACGCAACGTCCGTCTCGTTCGACCGTAATGCCGCTAACGTCTTCCAAGCCTATGTCAACGAGTCCCTCGGTTTCTCCATCAAACGGGGGGGTGTCATGTATGGTACGGTGGCTGAGGACAAGGCGGTGCTCGTTGACGCAATTTACGAGCCGCCGCAGCAGGGTTCCGAGGACGGATTAGAGATAACCTGGGATGCGGAGGAGCTGGCGCGGGTGGAGCTGGTGGCGGGGGGGTTAGGGCTGAAAAAGGTCGGGTTTATTTTCAGCCAGAGTGTGAGCCAGGTCCAGGGGAAGGAGTATATCGTGTCGGAGGGGGAGCTGCGGCAAATGGTGGAACTGCAGGTTGGTTTGCTTAACCTTTTCCCTTTTTGTAACCACTTTTCTCGACTTTACTCCATTCCCAGACCCCTTCAGTGTATAAGTTTTTCTCCCCATTTGGTGGAGCTCTACTGGAGGGACGGCCCATGATGAAAAAGCATCGAAAGCGGTGTCTCGTCTCATCAGAATTCCTCGTTCTTCTCATGACTATACAGCAGGCCAGGCTGTCCGTTCAATCACGACGAGCTTTGCTTTCCAGCTCGCTGTTGCACTGCTTGGACTTGCAAGCCGACGGCAGGGACGAGACTTGAGAGTAAACTTTCAGCAATCCGTTGCTTCCCTGACAACGGTCTTCATCTCATGCCTTCTTGCGATGTCTGCCCTGATGTCCCTTCCCGTAGTCTTCCTTTCCATCTATGGCAGTAGCAGGATCTGACACCCGATTCGGTTTCATTAAGGGATTGCTTTCGAATTGCATTTTTTTGGCACTCCTCCTTGGCTACCTCTCTTCGCTGAGTGGACTGGCCGTCGCCAGAACCTCTCTTTATGTCAAGCCAGGCAGGCATGTTCATCTCGAAATTAGAAATCACTTAAACCAAGCAGGGTGAACAGCAAAATTCTCTTGTGCACAAACAGACCGACAGCCTGGCCGAATTCTGGTTCGTTGATGTCGTAGAATTGGTTCAAAGATCTTGTAAAGCTTCTGTCCTCTTGCACTCTCGATTCTGTGTGTATCTCAGAAGAACCTGCTCAATGTTACCCCAAAGCCTAGTCCCCTTCCTACTGAGCGGCTACCAGTGTCTCTAACCACTGCTTTTCGTATCTCCACCACTGCTTACTCTAACAATTCGACGTCCTTCCCGCAGGCCGACAGCGGGGACGACACGTGGGTGACGGCGCTCGTGAAACTAGACGCGGACGAGGAGTCCGGCGGAGCGGACGTGCACTTCGAGGCGTTCCAGACGAGCGACCAGTGTGTGAAGCTGTGGCGCGAGGACTTCTTTGCCGCGAAAGACGCGGGCGGCAGCAAAGACCCGAAGACGTCGTTGATGGGCAAGGAAGTGATCGTGGCGGGGAGAGACACGACGGAGGTGGACAACGACTTCTTCTTGGTGCCGGTCAAGATCCTGGACCACGAGGTAAGGCGGTTTGGAGAGTTTCAAGGGTTTTGGCTTCTGGGGGTTTAGGTCTTTGGGGCTTAAGGGGGCTCGCTCTCGATGATGGCGGAAGGTTTGGTTTAATGAGGGGTTTGTCTTCGTGGTTCCATTAAACCATGAGGGAAGGGCTTTTGAGGAGTTCGCGGTGTCAGGGGTTCTATAACCCGGGTTTTGGGGTCTCCTCGGAGCCAAAGAGTTAGTCCGCGGAGTCCGTACAGGTAGTGTTGGGTTCAGAAGTTGAACTGCTTCCAAGCACCAGCTTCGTAGAAACGTGATCCCGGAGGTCAAGGGGTGAAAGCGCAAGAGTCGGCTGAAAACCATTTTGTTGTTGTGAGCCGCAAGCGCGGTTGGCTCATTCGCTGTTTCGCGGAACTTTGTTTCGTCTGCTCAATGTGATTTGTCGATATCCTGCCTCGTGTTCTGTGCTGCTTACGTCTGAAAGTTGGTAAGCAAGCCTCAGTCTTGCTTCGTTCCATCTGAGAACTCCTTCTACTTTATTGTGTCTAATAGCCGCCGACTTTTTTTTGACGTCTCCGCAGGGACCCCTTGTTCACACGTTCCCCGTCGAGAACCGGCTACCATCCGCCAATTTCCAGTCCGTCAAGGCCCACCTAGACAAGTACAAGAACTTTTCGTACGCCCAAAGACTATCCGATTTCCACCTGCTAGTATTCCTGTCAAGATACATAGGCGATGCCGCAGACATAACCCAAATAGCAGAGACAGTGCGCAATAAGGGCCAGGTCGGAGAGGGGTACCAGCTCATCATCGACTCCCTAGCTAGTCAATGATTCTCTCGGTTGCGGCTACTTGCTCGAAAGTGACGGCAGGCCTTAGAAAACTTGAGGAAGCCTCATTCCGCTTCCTAAGGAACATGTAGTCGGGCATGCATGTTGGAACTCTGGGCTGGGCCATCAGTGCTGGCAAATGATTGTTGGCTCGCATCGGTTTCTGAGACGGGTCACATGTTGGTTGGGTGGATATCTCAAAGAGCCTCCGGCTGAGAAAGCGCAGATCAGTTAGCTCTGCGCATGAAGTCTCGATTGCGTGAAGTTCATGGTAGATCACTGAGCCGTTTTAAATGGTACATTGCGCGCCCTAGACATGCGCAGCAGGGGCTGGCACGCAGTGCATGCATTGCAATGAGTCCCACTTGCTTGGCAATCCGACGCGGTTGGATCGAGGAGTCAACCCGGCATGATCCGCGATCCTGAACTCGATATATATCGCATTGCATATCATGCAATTGCTCAAATATAAACAATACAGCTGATGAGGTCCATTGCATGTCCAGACACGAAAATTCACATCGGAACCAGCCTAACCACGTCACTCGGAACAGTTGCATGCTCGAGATCTAAGAACGGTACGGTAGATTCTTGGTTCCATGGTCGGGAAGCGACTGAACTTTCGGCATCACATCCACCCTCTCGAGGTGCGAATTGGAGCCTCATGCTAGTAAACTAATTTTCTTGTGATTGCTGGCAAGGATCTGCGTCAATGTACTTCAAGGAGAAGATACTGTAAGCGCTGCCATATTAAGCAACGTTGATTTGACTACCATACCTTTGACGACAAGGTTCAGAGCCTCTCACTTCTCATTGGTCTGAACAGTCGATCAGCCTAACGCCTTTAGGCTGAGTCGTTTGACAAGGCTAAATCGTTTCACTCAGTGTCTATAACAAACCACCATCTCACCAATGTCACAACCCAACATGTGCAGGGGGCATCTCCCAACACGATCTGCGGCTACCGCTGGGCACCCTACATCTTGACGGCCTCCACAACGGACGCTTGCAGGCCCCAGCGGAACGATGCGGCTGATCTGGAAACCCTCGGACTCTAGCAAAGTCTTCCACTCCTGCTCTGAACGTTCCCGTCCACCCGGGCATATCATCATCATGTTGATGTCAAGGAGAGTGAGGAACTGGCGGGCCTCGGGGGGTGCGGTGCCAGGGTTGGGGATGACGAACTCCACAATCAGCAGCTTTCCTTCGGCGGGCAGGGCGCCGCGACAATTGGCCAGGATCGTCTTGCACGCCGCATCGCCCCAGTCGTGCAGAATGTGCTGGAGGAATGAAAACGAGAGCGTTTACTTTGCGCGAGGCACGGTTACATGCAAGACCAACGGTAAAGTGGAATTTCGGAAGGGGCGGTTCAAACGACTCGAATTATTAGGGCATGGCTAACTGTATTGCCATCTGCTGTAAGTCAAAAAATGCTCCTCAAGCATACAGGGTTTGGAACAGGGAGCACAAACATAAGCTGGTTGCACACCATCAGCACTCACTGAAAGAGTCTCTCTAAGAAACCCTCCAAAAGAAAGTGGTTGTTTCGTCAGGCCTTCGTGTAGGTAATGATCTCGGCGACTTCCAGGAAGCTGAGTGTCTGATTGACCTTTGAAAGGGATCGAGTCCAGAGGCGATTCATTGGTACAACTTTTATACAACGTTGATGAATAAGAGAAGAAAGACGAAAAGCGTTTGCACTATGTTCATAAACGCTGCAGGTAGAAGAGACGAGAGAAGGAAACAAGAAAGATGACAATGCTGCAGCAGCGCTGGCTCTAGGACGAAGAAACGGCACGAATCTTCATCATGATGTTGGAAGCCTTGGGCAGACTTTCAGCCTTGAACATGTCTCCAGACACGTGCTCCACCCCTGGAAAAGATGGCGCAGTCTCGATGACACGTGGTTGGTCAAAGTTGAGGCCCTTGACGTCGGGGTACTTTGCGGTGATTGCTGCCATGACAGAACCGAGTCCTCCGCCAACGTCCATCAGCATATCCATGTCCTTGAACCCGTCGTAAGCCTGCAATCAGCAGAAGACTCCGTGAGCTTCTTAAGACCTCCGTAAAAGTCGAACAAAAGCAAGGCCTGATTATCATCATTCAAGCAAGAGGAGACCGGACGAAGCCTCTCCAAGCAGCAAAGGGGACGGACAAGCGCCATGAATGATGCTCCTCAGATAGCTGCAATCCGTCTTCTTGTATAGAATCTGCAGATTGCGTTCTGTGGATCGGGGCAAAAGAATGCCGGAAGATGGCTAGAGACCAGCATTTGCAGCGGAGCCCTGACCTGCAGGAGCTGGGGGAGCTGATTCGAGGAAACGCCCCTCATCGCAGCGTCGAAGGCCTTTCCAGACGTGTCCGCATGTGCCTGAATACCAAGAGCACGACTGTCAATCATAAAGGGACCACGAACAAGATAGTCATGTCGGATCTCTGGATCACTCTGACGGCTAAGCCAAGCCAGGTAGGAGCCATGGGGCCTCTGTGCAAGCAGTTGGTTTGTGGGATCCAGTACCTTTGCTACTTGTTACTTGTATATGCAAGGCAATCGCATCAGAGGTTCTAAGCTTGAACTTCAAATGAATATGGCAAATCAGAGTCGCAACTACCTGATAGTAGTCCCAGAGGCTACTATGCGTCTTGCTCTCCGTAGTCTTCTCCCAACCATTGCCCCCCTCCTTGATCGTGCGCGACAACTCATTCCAGGTGTTCGAAGTCATGGGCTCATTCAAGTGAATGATCAGACCGGCCAAGGGGCTCAGATCGCCTGTCTCCTGCAACAGACGCAGCTTTCCGCTTTTGAAAGTGGTATCTGGAACACATTGCATAGCAGACACACTCTATTCATGTCCAGGAAGCCAAAAGTCTTAGACAAGAAAGATGAGTTTCCAGTCCATACGGAGATAGCTTCTCCAACCAAACCCAGGCCTTTCCTTGCACGTCTTTACACAGCATTATGCTCTTGCCTCTTGCCATCTTTCACACTTACTAGATGCTTCTGGATAGTAACAATACTCGGATTGAGTGGTTCAAGGAGCACCAGAGGCAAGAAGCAGAGTAACTTGACATGTGCGTTTACCTTGTCTGACACCAGGACTTGACCAACTGGGGACAAGCTGTAAGTCCCTTCTGCAGTCTCGTCAAGCACGCCGAGTCCAGACAGCGCCCGGATGACGCGTGCGGTTGCGTCCGGGTCTGTTCCAGCGAGCTGAGCAACGTCATCTGGATGCATTGGTTCACCTGCACAGAGAGCCACAGTTTGCACTGATTGTCCTCACAAGGAGCATACTTGCAAAGGGAATGTCTGAGCGAACCAAGATACTCTGCTTGTATAATGAAGAACAGATCGCTGGCGCAGGCATATGAGAAACATTTCCATCTGTTGGTGAACCTCTGATTTGACAACTTCAAAAGAGAGTGCACTCAAGCAGAAATGTGTATCCTCTAAATGCATATGAGAAGGTCATAGAGCATCTACAGGTGGTGGATCCCCTTACCTTGTTTAGCAAAGATGTCTGGCAGGCCATTGTCCAATGCAGCGTACAGCACTTTTCCTTTTGCAAAACTCATCGCGTAGTCTGCCAAGACAGCTGCTGGAGGCAAAACTGGCGCCATTCTAGAACCTAGTCTGCCAAAGAAAGAGCGAGCCATGTCACCATACAGCAAGCTGCCAATAATCTCCGCGCGTCACTGTGTTTGCTACATGTTTTATTGAGTGGCCTGTCATGACATGAAGGCCACCCAAGCAGCTGCCAAAAGGAGTGAAAGGCTTATGAAAGGTAGCTGAGCACCACAGAAAATAGAAGTCTGGCAGGTTTGACCATAAATGAAGACGGATCCTCGCCATGTGCCATTTCAACCATTCAACTTGATTGAACCACCTCCTCTGAAGCATTGCAAAAATGAGCATTTTGCAGAACACTTGTAGCCTGTAGGAGCTTCACAGTGCATAATGGACCCATAATGGAGAGCTAAAGGTTGAAGAAACGGGGAAGAAACCTGCTCATCAGCTACTTGCCGAGCTTGTCCTTGGGAAGGTGAAGACGCAGAGTCGCCTGTAGATCAGCCTGCGGCCTGCCACTCCCAATTATCTGGGTTCCAGGAACAATGCAGACGAGCTCAAAACAGCTTGCCAAGGTTTATGCTTGCATGAAGTCTGCTAGTACCCATGGAACAGATCAAGGAAGATAAGCCTCAGATTGAGCGCCTCTCTAAAATGATGGAGACGTATGCTGCTTTTAGCGAAATTCCTGCCAGAGAGATTCCTTGGAAGCTTGCTTGTGTACTTAGCTAGCAAATTCTTTCAGAAGGAGGACAGCAATCTGCTAAATCCGAATGCTGCATTCCTGCTTGCCAATGCTACGAATATTTTGGAAGCAGTCCTTCTAAGGGTACCGTCATTTTGTAGCTGGTACCCCCCCATTCTTTTATAGGGGGTACCCGTTAGAGGCTTCATTCCTGAATTTCAGCCGCCCTGGGGGGGTGGCTAGGAGTGAGTCCGAGCTCTTAGGCGGGGAGGGGGGGTGGGCTTGAGGCTTGGGCCGAAGGTCCAAGCACAGGCGCTCGATTGGTCAAATACCCACATAATCATCAAAATGAGTATCGAGATGGACGACCAGAAAGTGGGCTTTCTTGTCTTCCACCGAATGCACAGTTGGGTTGAGAAGATGCAGAAAACAGTGCATGAGCGTGCCCAATGAGGTACCGGTATGCATGTCCATTTGAATCAAATTCTCAAAATTTTCCACTTAAAAGCGGGGAAAATTGCAAAAATCTTGGCTCTGGGGCCCGAAGAAGTTCTGTGACTGACAAGCCAGGGGGGGGGGGTGGGCTTGGGGCTTGCTCGCCCCAAGGAGGCCACCAGGGGGTCCTAGAAAGGTGGCTTCGAAAAAAATGATCGATTTAAGAATGGGGGGGTACCACTTACAAAATGACGATACCCTAATAGGCTCCAGAGTCCAGACAATGTAGACCGGAGATCAGAGATTTAGTGTCAACCAACCATAGATACGGTACGGCAGCTAAAGCTGAGCGACGGCGATCGTACACCCTACCAACTTGCATGGCGTGGCGCGCCTCGAAAGCTGCCGTACTCGATAGACGGCGAGACAAAGTTGACACTGCTGACTGGTACCGTAGCTTGTATAATGCACAAGCTTGCCCCTTCCGGGATCCCTTCGAAATTCTTGGAAGTATCTCACGAGCATTCACTGTCAACCATGCGTGTGCATTATTGAGCGCAATCAACCAAACAACATGAGATTTCGCGGCACAGTGGTCACAACCAAGTTCCATCCGACCGTCAGCCTGACGTGCCAGCGGCTCTTGGCAATATTGCGAAAGATGGAAGTTGACGGGCCGGGTGACGACCAGCTCCTTTAACGGGCTGGCAATTTGGCGGGCGCTTAGTGTGCGTTGCGTTCCCGCTGGGTTGAAGACAATCAGCTGTTGCTGCAATGACGTCTCAGAAGGACGCGTGCAGGTTTGCGGTAATTTCAAGGGCAAGTTCCATTTGAAAGAGCCTGCTGTTTCCAAAATGGAAGCAGGTCGACTTTGATCCTGAAGCAGCGATAGCCCGTTCCTCCAAGCTGAAAAGGAAGAAAAGGGTATATTCCTCCGTCCTTGAACAACACTGTCCGAGGAATTGGCAAGTGCCCTCTCCAGCTGCATTTAGCTATAGACTGGCAAAAATGTCAACTCTATTATGTAAATGTCAATGTTGTGGCATGGCAAGTTTTATTACTTGAACATTGCAACCCGTCCGATCCGCGAAGCTCATAGCTGTCTGCTTGTACAGGGTTGTGGGTCAGCTTTGTAATTAGGGAGGTTGGGGCCCTCTTCTGATCTCGCTTTCAATATCGTCTTACTCATAATTGTCCCATCCCATGATTCACCACTTCTGCATGATATTTAAAACTGCTCTGCGTTTCGTGTCAGCCACTGAAGTCTGACCTTCAATCAACATTGCAGATCCTGATCAGCAGGAGGTTGCGAATGTTTGTGCGTTTCGCCTCATGGTGATCAATTGGTGTCTGGGGTGTAGGAATCTTGGGCCTGCTATCGCTAGTGACTTGACGGCCCAGTAACACAATCTGACAATCTGTAAATAGCAACATCAAAATACAGAGAATTGCAGCGGATGATTGTTTGCTTTCCTTTAGGGCCGCTCTACGGCTCTTTCCTCACCTCAGGGGCCCTGTGTACCTACCAAAGTGATCGATCTCTCCCTACGCTTTTGTCTCTCAGGTGTCCCTAAGATGCACCATCTTTCTCCCACAATGACCTTTCATGTTTGATGTTTGCAGCTATCCTCATGAGGAGGCAGCGAGCCGAAGCGCGCCCCACCGCTCACCTGCATCTTTGGCAACGACATGACTCCGAAATGCACGCTAGAAGTGGGGGCAGAAGACTCAGCCAATCGAGTGTTATGTCCACAATTTAGGCTTTCTTATTGAAGTCTGCCCTCTTTGAGTGACCAGATCTTGCGGGCACAGCAAAATTATTGTCCTATCCTGGTATATCATCAACTGGTGTCCATCTGCACTTACACTAGAAGAAGATGCCGCTTTCAGAAGCCCCTTTCACAGCAAGGACTTCTCGACAGCAAGGACAGCTCGGAGCCCAGCCCTTTCGGCGCAGATATTCAGCCCACGTTCCTCAACCGCAGATCTGCTCCGGAAACTGGTGACAACATTGGCGCGCTGGCGTTCAGCGAAAATCGTCTTCAGCCGCCTTCTTCAAAATCCGAGGTAAGTGCTTCAACAAGCCCAGGTCATCTCAACCGTTTCAAAAGTTGGTCAAAACAAGCTGAAACGTGCTCCAGAACTGGCGACGACAAGCTGACGTCATGCCCTCGTGTTTGCGGATCTTTTAGGTGAAGCGGCTCATCGGGTGCCAGTGCTTGATCCCGACCGTCCGGAGGACGTAACTTGTGGCCCTTCCATGTCGTCCGCAGCCCCGACGACAAGCCCATGATCGAGGTTGGAATCAGGGGCGAGCAGAAGCGCTTCTCGCCTTCAAAGATCAGCGCCATGAACCTTTGCCAGGACGAAGGGACACGTGGAGGCGTACTTGGCAAAGACCGTAAGCCGCCAATGCGGTCGTGAGCGTCCGGCCTACTTCAGTGACGCGCAGCGCCATGAGCCAAGTAAGGATGGGCTGGTGGGTGCGTGGGTTTGTCACCATCCTGGCAAAAGGTTTGTTGTTTGTACCTTGCTTCTCGAGACGACTTCGAGTGAGCTGAAGGAATGAGTGGCAAGGCTGGCCATATGAGCAGTGCTCTGGCACTGCCACCAGCAGACGAAGACGGACTAACTCATGCCAACGACCCCATATGTCGACTTGTTTCGCGGGCAACACTCCCGATTTTTGTTGTTGACGTGGTCCTCATGGAACGGATCCAGTAGGAATCAGTGCACCGCGTATGACCTTCTAGCACTCTGCTGGAACTGACACTGCAAGGAATGGTGCTCCGGAGCAACTCGAACCCTTTTGAATCGTAACTACTTTTCCTGGGCACCTTCGCCTCCCTGAACGTCCTTAGCGTCATCACTGAGCCGAGCGCGGGCGCAATTGCAAACGGCTTTGACTGGAAAACTTGCCGACAAGGCCTAGAGAACGTCACTCATCTTCGATCTTAGTGGGGGAACTTTCGCAACGTCGCAGATGACTGTTGAAAATGCAAATTTGAAGTAAAAGCGATAACAGGAGATACGCACCTGGGCGGGGAGGACTTTGACAGCCAAGTGGGCGGTCGGAGAGTTCAAGCGGACATCAGCGGCAATGCACGGTGGGTACCCTTGGACAGTCTGATGGTCTCTCATGACGGACTGGCTCGCTTGACCGGCGTTCATTAATGAGATCTGGCTCTTTTTCTTGCCTCAAGGGTTTGGCTTCCGGGATGTGGTTCACGATGAAGGAGCATCGAGCAAGTTGGGAGAGGTAGCGTACCAAAGATCGTCAAATTCTGCCCGACTGCACGTTACCAAAGCCAGCAGAGCCGTGGTCATGCTGACGTGGAGCGGATGCAATTTTGGCTCGTTTCCTTTTAGCAACCTACTTTGTGCCGAAACGTACTCTTCTAGCTTTTCGAGTCTGAAAGCAGGTGGCATAGGTTGAGTGGCAGCCCCCACTTCTCGAGAACGTTCGAGGCTGTGCCCCTTTATCACCTCTAGAAAAGCACAGTAAGTACTCACTGTATTCCAATTATTGAAAACAAGTACGACTCCCCATCCTTTTCAAAAGAGATCTACTCCGTCCGCAGGGCCATTCCGCTGGCTCAAAAACTCGTGCCGGGGCGCAAAGCGCGAGCTTTCGGCGACCATTTACACTACGATTGAGGTCGATGGCCCTGTCTCGATCTCAGGGCATCAACGTGATTGCCGAAATCACGCGCGCGCGCTTCGAGGAGCTGTGCATGGACCTGTTTCAGCGGGGCATAGACTCGATGAAGAACGTCTGAGAAACGCCAGGCTGGACATCCTGGCAGCGTGGGCGAGTCGGTGAGTGCCGCCCTGGCGACACGAAAGTGCCCGGGAATTAGCCTGTTTCATGGTTTTAGATGGGCTAGAGCGAGGTGGCCCGGTCGGCGGACTGGCACCCCGGCGGTCGCCCCGGATGCGCCCAAATTAAGTATCATAGATTTAAGTGCGTTGTGTGGTGACGAGCAGCGTCCGATCAGAGACACGTGGCCCGGGGAAGGTGATGTTTCTCACTTAAGTATGCGGTTGTCTTTTGAGACGTTTCTGCCGTGAGGAACAGTCCATCGAGCAATGAAAGCGGCGCCTTCGATGTGCAGCATCACTTGCCGAAAACAACCCTCTCGCGCGCGCTTAATATAGATTTCGAGGGTCTCCTGCGGGGGGTCCGACAGAATCGCTGTCCTCGTTCCAGCTGTATTGTATGATGTTCTTTCTCATCCTTGTTTAGGAGCTCTCGTGACTATTGCTGACGTCACTGCCCGTTTTTGATGACGGCACGCGCCCCGCTTCTCAGGCGGCTGAATGCGCATCCCCAAGTTTCAGCTGGTCCTGAACGGCGACTTTCGTGTCCGAGCCGTTTCCTCCCTCGTCGCCCCTCTCTGGAGTCTGCTGAAGCTTCTCATCATTCAAGACGCCTCTGCTGCTGACGTCACTACCCATCATCCCTGACACCACCTCCCTTTTTCCGGGCAGCAGCTCGACGGGCATCCCCAGGGTTCATGAGCGGATGCTCCCTAGCTCGCTTTCACATTACCTGTTGACGTCACCCATCTTTCCTGCTGACGTCACGCCCCTCTCCCCGCAGGCGGCTCGACGCGCATCCCGAGCACATTGAAAGCAAGTTTTCGCGGGCAAGCAGCTCAAGAAGGGCATAAACCCGGACGAGCTGGCGGTCGCGTACGGCGCCGCGGTGCTGGCCGCCGGGGGAGACCCAGCAAGGTACACGACAGGACGGCATTAAGTTGCCCATGACAACTCAAGTAATCATTGCTGAGATAGCGTGCAACGAGGGCAAGGTCCGGTTGGGGAGGCGTACCAGCTTATCATCTAGTCCCAAGTAGGCTAGCCACTTATGATGATTTCAGTAAATCTGCGAACGTACGTATTGGGTCCAACGATAGTCAAGAAGCGCCGACAAGAGCTACTTTTGATCGGCATGCTTCCGATTCGTCGACCTGGGAGCATCGCAAATCTCCAATATCCAAGTGCAACTGATCTTTCAAGGCAAAAGTGCGTACCGCGTGCCTAACAACACATCGCAGCGTACAACTTATCAAGTCAAATGGAACCAGTGATGCGACGATGGTTCGAAAGCAGATTCTGACACAAATGATCCTATTTTATTTCGCTTCAGAGTCTCGCATGGCTATTTGTATGCCGTGCACTGAGTGAATCCAGTATGAAGCCACAGGAGACGCGCACTGTATAAGCATCCAATCTCAGGTTTGACGATCTCACCAATGATCGTGCACTGCCATCGAAGAAGTGTTAAGTGTAACATATCGGAGGATCACACGGACTACCGCACGAATTGTTATTAAAAGGTTTGCTAGCTGATTACTTAAGTTTCACGCCAGGATATCTTAATGAACAGATGTTAAACAATCAGGCTTGCATATGGTCTGGAGTTGATCATTGCGCAATCGGCAACCCGGACAGTTCAAAGACGTACTCATCAGTGACGAGCGGCAGAATCAGAGATTGCCGCCATCTAGTGACGGAAAATGATTGTACAAGTCCATTGCCACTGCGTGCTAGATTCAACTGGAGCCGTTCGTCATTGCAAGGATCATCCTGAGCCGTTCGTTGATCGACGGTCTGAACAATCAAACGAATACTAGCTACGTAAGCCGGGACCCTCAACAAGATCCGGGCCGACTGAACAAACAAACTCGACTAGAGCACGTATATAATCAACTAATTGAAGCCGGACACAACGTTTAAAATGTTATGTTGATAATTGTCTAACTATCAGCAAGACTGCTGTACATATGAAGTCACGTGTATCATTAATCTCCGTGTAGTATGTGTTAAACTCATGAAGTACAGGACGAATTCCTATAATTCACGTACACTTTGCACTGCTGACGGCCCAATCCCTATGCTTTCACGGCCTCCACGACGGACGGGCTTCCAGGCCCCAGCGGAACGATGCGGCTAATCTCAAAACCCTCAGACTCTAGTAATGTCTTCCACTCCTGCTCCGAGCGCTCCCGACCACCCGGGCACATCATCATCATCTGGATGTCGAGGAGAACCGGGAACTGGCGGGCCTCGGAGGGTGCAGTGCCGGGGTTCGGGATGACGAAGTCCACAATGAGCAGCTTTCCACCGGCGGGCAAGGCGTTTCGGCAGCTGGCCAAGATTGTTTTGGACGCCGTGTTGCCCCAGTCGTGCAGGATGTGCTGCAGGAAGGACTCGGAAAAGGGAGACTCTTCAGTCCAACGGGGCCCGGTGACATGCAAGACCAACGGTCGAGTGGATCTTCCAAAGCGATAAGACTGCATTGAACGACTTGACTTGAATGGCTTAACCCCTCTTCCTACCTGATGGAGTCAGCATGTTTCTGAAGCCTACCGGATACGGAACAGAACGGCGTACAGAACATGAGCTCAGGTGTGCAGATTTCCAGGAAGGGTCTAGGAATAGGCGAGACTGACGAGTTGTTCTTTGAAAAAGATGTTGTTTCGTCAAGCCTTCCTTGTGTTTTCCTGAGGTCGGCCCGCTTCATTAAAGCTGCGTTCTGATTAGCCTTTCGAAAGACTGAGCAATCTACTTTCTGTTGACTGATTGCACACTTTTTAAGGAAAGGTTCTGCACGAGATTCAAGACAGCTACAGGCAAGAGCAACGAGAAGAGGAAGGAAAGCGCGCAGCGCTAATCCAGGACGAAGAACGACACGAATCTTCATCATGATGTTGGAAGCTTTGGGTAGAGTCTCGGCCTTGAACATGTCTCCAGACACATGATCCACCCCTGGGATGGAAGGCGCAGTTTGAATGACACGTGGCTGGTCAAAGTTGATGCCCTTTATGTTGGGGTACTTTGCGGTGATTGCTGCCAGAACAGAACCGTGCCCTCCGGCAACGTCCATCAACTCGTCCATGTCCTTGAACCCGTCGTAAGCCTGCGATGAGCAGAAACCTCCGTGAAATGCATGCCTTATGATCTCTCGAAGTCAACGAAAACCAGAACTCTGACTACAATTTAGCAACAAATGCTTCGGGACGACCTCCATAATATAAGGAGTGCTGCTCCTCCGAGAATGCATGGGATCTGGCTCAGCTTTGTAATCTGCAGATTGCACGTCTGTGCATTGCCATTGGGGCAAAACATCTCAAGGGGATGGCCGAGCTGACAGCAGCAAAGACCAGCGTTTGTGGTTGAGCCCTGACCTGCAGTAGCTGAGGAACTTGAGTCGACGAGAGGCCGCTCATTGCCGCGTCGAAGGCCTTTCCGGATGTGTCCGGATGTGCCTGCGCAATCAGAAAACAACTGTCGTTGATATACAGGTCGCCAAAAAGATGGTCGTGTGGGATACCTGGATCCCATTGAAAATTGAGGAGCATAAGGCCAAGCCACTTTGAAGCAGAGTGTGCCGCTGTGCAAGCATCCAGGTGGTAGGATCCAACATGCTCGCATCCCTCTTGCTCGTGTACGCAAGGTGATCACTCAAGCAGTTACAAGCTGCGGAGCGCTTTAGGTGCCTATATAAATGCAAAATCTCAGCTGCAGGCAGAGTTGCATACCTGAAAGAAGTCCCACATGCTCTCATGCGTCTTGCTCTCTTGAGTCTTCTCCCAACCTGAACCCCCTTCCTTGATCGTGCGCGATAGCTCATTCCAGGTGTTCCATGTGTTCGGCTCGTTGAAGTGGAGTATCAGACCAGCCAAGGGATTCATCTTGCCCGTCTCCTGCAAGGCGGCAAATTTATGTTCTTGTGACTGACACCTGAGTTGCATCCTATGTAAGATAGCATCTGTTGATCATGATGACCAGGAAACCAGGTAGTCTTGACAAGAAAGATGACTTCCTCTGGGACAGCTGCTTTCACAGAATCCACATCAGAAAGCTCAGAACAGTACTCCCGTCGTGCTCGTTGCCTGGATGCTCTCTAGGCAGTCGATCCAATTCTCAAGGAGCACAAGAAGTAAGAAGCAATGAGGCACATACCTTGTCTGACGCCAGAAGCTGACCCACCGACGACAAGCTGTAAGTCCCTTCTGCATTTTCGTCGAGCACCCCAAGTCCAGACATCGCCCGAATGAGGCGTGCGGTTGCGTCAGGGTCTGTCCCTGCAAGCTGAGCGACGTCATCCGGACTCATTGGTTCACCTGCAGACAGAGCCACAGCTCTCGTTGAATACTTTCACAAAGGGGCACAAATGTGCAAGGGAATGCTTCAGCAACTCCTTGAATACTTTGCTCTCCTGATGAACAACGAAAAGCTGGCGCACGAGGGAAGCAATGTTCAGCTCCAGAGTTGTGAACCTTTGACTTGACAAGCTCAACGAAAGTCGCATTGGAACATAGGAGGACCTGCCATCCTGTGCCCTTAGAGACGCATACATACAACGAGCACGAGTCAGGAGTTTTGAAGCAAATGCTTTCATTGGATCTTTCCAGCAGGCTGGTATATATGCTGCTGACAAATAGCGCTGAGGAAGTGCTGCTTAGAAGGCTACTGACAATTGATGCTGTTACAAGATGAGGTAGAAGCATTCACCAGAACTGTCTCACAACATGTCAATTCACAGACTGCATGTTTCCATGTCCATCCAATCAGAATTGTGCATACCTTAGATGTTTACTTCGAAAGGTGACAAATCAAACAAGCGCTATGAGCATCTACAGGGTGTGAATCACGGTACCTTGTTTGGCAAAGATGTCCGGCAAGCCATTCTCCACAGCAGCGTACAACACTTTCCCTTTTGCATAACTGAATGCATAGTCTGCCAGGAGAGCCGCTGCAGGCAGAGCTGGCGCCATTGTACCTAGTCAATCAAGGAAAGAGCAAGCCGCGTCAGCTCAAAGTGCCCCCTGCCTATGTACTGAGACTCCCCTTCACTCTTTTTGCCACTAGATCTCTTCTGAGCCGCCTCTTGCGAATGAATAGGCCACCAAAGCAGCTGCCAAAAGGTGGAGGACCACAGTAGATGGAAGTCTAGGAAGTGAGAAGAAAGAGTCCAGCAACCAATCAGCTTGATTGAGCTACTGTCCTAGAAGCATTGCACGAGCCTGTTGCAAAACGGAATGCAGAAGGTTTACTGCGTACTGGATAGCTGAAGGTTCAAAACAGCCTTGCTCACCCGCTTGTGTCTTCTTGATTTCAAGCTTCTTTGAAGAAGGTGAAGATGCAGAGATGCCTGCTGCCGCTTCGGATGATAGGGTGAGACTTGCTTTCAGGGACTGCCACAGTGCGCGTCGCGAGGTGCCAAAAGCTTGGCAAGGCTACTACACCTCAATAGAAAGGAATCAGGCGGCCTCAGGTTGGCTCTGCTGTGAAACGATGGAGACTGCTGGCTAGTGCGCAACTTGTCTTGGAAGAATCTCTTGAAAGCTTATATACCCTTCAGGTGTCCGCTTTCAAAACAGTCTACAATAGCTGCTCTTGGCTGTAGACGTCTGGGCTGCTCTTCAATGTTCAATGTCGAACTACTGTACAGCATATCAGCATTCGTGGAGTTTCAAGGAAGGGACCAGGTGGGACCAGGGCCCGACTGGGCCCCACCGGACTTGCACCCTGGTAGAGCAAGAACAAGAAGCACGTGGAGCAAGGTTCAAGAAGCACCGGGGAGGGCGGGTATGGAGAATAGGGACCAGAACTTGATCTCAGGTTCCGGATCTCGGGACATTCCTGATCTCAGGAAGCCACTGTGGGGGGTAGTATTCGCTCTGTGCCGTACCCCCTCTTGACAGCAACGTAAAAGTCCAAGCACCCGGTGAAAGTCAACTTGATCTCAGGAAGCAGCGACAGGGGGTTCAAGTGTGCATAATGACATACCCCCCGAGGCACTGACAGATTTTGACTATGGTCGGCCGAGCGCCGTCCGATGCAAACGGAAGGCTCAGATTCTATGTTCGGGCCCGGCGGGACCCGGCCGTACAAGGTCACCGGTCCCCAGATCGGGAAAGTTACCTTAGATCAGGAATGTTGGTCCCTATTCTCCATACCCGCCCTCCCGGGGCCTGGGCCTACGAGCTTCTCGATTAAGATCGCCCGGGGCCGGCCGGGCTTCAAAGAAAGCCCCGGGCCCGGGTTCTCGGAAAGTGCCGCCGTGCTGACACAAGTGACCACCATGATCCATGAGCCACCCATGGCTCCTACGGGACTACCTATAAAATAAATTGATTGATTGATTGACCACAGCGGACTACATGCAGGCTGACGACCGTACACTGGCATGCCGGGCTAGACGCCGGACGCGGCTGGAGCCGCCGATTCCTGTCCTATTAACTTCGAAGCCCGATCGGATGTTCGCATGGTGCGCACGCCGGAGTGGCGACGAAAAACAAGGGCGAGCTATTTTCACACTGGGTGTTTGACGGCATGCTGTGACCTGTCCGTCGCCACCTATTATTAACGGAGCTGTCCGGCGACGGCCACCCTCTGTATTGCAGGTTCTGATTGCTGCTCACTGAGCACTCAGCTCAACTCTCCGCCCGTGAATAGAGGTACCTACCTCTACAGGATACCATTATCCTGAAACCGCGTAGTACTCGAAGCTTCAATCTACGCCCCGTGCGACACGATTGGTGATGTTGCGGCATCCCGGCCGCGACAAAGCAAATTCCTCATGGGTTGGCGGCCGGGACTGCCACATCCAATGACTGCCAGCTTAATTTCCATGCATTGCCAGCAACGTATACATTACAAGCGAGTCGGATGACGGAACATGTCTTCGCTGGCCCATGCCTCTGTATGGAAAAGGAATACTCAAACTTAACCATTTGCTCCTTTCAAACCTGGCCCTGCGCTTCATGCACTGACTGTAAACGGTAACTTGGCCTGATCAAATGCACAGGACTCGCCGTCGAGATTCAATCAGTCCTACAGAAGAGAAAGGTAACATCGTACTTTGAATGCAATCTGTCCGACAGGCCCAGACGAAATCGAGCCACAGCCCTTTACCTATGTACGTGTCTACAAATCTTCTTACACTAACCAGTCTACCCCTGGAAAGGATGTACATTCCGCTGCAAAGAGCAGCGCTTGCGCAACGTCCAACGAGGTGTCGCTCTAATCCCCTAACTTTGTTCGCATACGGTATTTCAATTGATCAAATACGCACCACTTTATGCACCCGTCTACTTCCCCGCTCCGACCGCTTCCTGCATCATTTTCACCAGCTCCGGATCCCCCGAGAAAAAGTTGTCGACCTGTTTCTTCTGCATCTCCTCCAGCTCGGGGAGCAACTTCTCCATGAACTCAGTCACCGTGGAGTCTTCCGCTAAGCCCATCAGCTCGAACTCCATCTGGTCGGTGGTCATCCCCGGGCGGAACCGCGCGTAGCCGCGCTTGACGACCAGGATCTGAGATGACGTGCGCGCCGCGTACTCCTCGAGCTCCTGCGGGGGCGGGCGGCGGAAGTTAGTAAGTTGGCAAGCTGACGTCAGTCGTCCGAGCGGGGTGAATGCAACACGTTGAAAGCTGACATCACTCTTTCAAGCAGAGTAATTGCAGCAATCAAAAGCTTGACGTCACGAGACCAAGCGGAGTGAAGCGAATACGTTGAAGAGTGACGTTATCCATCCAAGAACAAAGTGGAATCTGTAACACCAACAAGTCATCGTTCAGAACGGCGCACAATCAGCAATCACAACCTATATTATCAAACTTGAAACCTCGTCTCGCTGCAACAATGCGCGAAAGGGCACGTTGCAGATAGTAGAACACGTTTGGAAACAAACTCCTCACCGTTGGGCCGATCGGCTGCACGACAGGCTGGTGCGTCGCATGATGCGGGACCTTGCTCAGCCAATCCTGGAACCAGGCTGCCTCCTTCTTGTCCTGAAACCCGATGACGTAACAGTTGCCGGTGACCTCCGCAGTGAGGTCCAGCGCCAGGAGCTGGTACTTGCCGGACTTGTTCAGCAGGATGACCTGGCGTGACGTCAGGAAGACACGTCAGCAAATTCGCAGAAACATGGTGGAAACATGAGGATGACCTGGCATGACGCCCGAGAGACTCATCGGCATGCTTGAGGAAGATACAGAAGAGACGTCGGGGTAAAGAGACTGATTTGGCGCTCTGGTGCAGAAAGGTAAGCACGCCTCGAACAAATCAATGAGAGGGAGAGACGTAAGCACAATTGAAGACAAATAGGGAACGCATCCTTACAACAAGAGAGAAGCAAAAATATGAATCGAAGATTGGGAAGACGACTTGCATCCGGGCTCCATTGAAGCAAAGAGACAGACATACGAACGAGATTCTCGCATCAGCCTCTCACAGCAACAGTGTGTTGGCAACTAGGCCCACGACAAACTGAACAAACTGCTTCAGAGTTTGACAACTTGAAGACTTATGTCCCGCACCTGCACCTCCGGTAAATGCGTCCACCACTGCTTGTCGCCATTCCTCGTTCTTGGTTGGGCTTTTGGCTTCGGCTTGGAAGATTTTTACTATTCTACGTGAAACAGTTATGTCCCTCACCTGCACCTCCGGTAATCGCGTCCACAATCGTTTGTCTCCGTCGCTCATTCTTGGTTAGGGTTTTGGTAACGACTTTGAAAGTCAATAGTTCTACATGAAAGGATCACGTCCTTCACCTGCACCTCCGGTAAGTGCGTCCACCACCGCTTATCGCCGTCGCTCATTCGCGGCCGCGGCTCCGGCACCCTGACGTCCAGCCCTAGTTCCTTCCCGTGCTTGGCCAGGAACTCGTTGGGCCCCATGTGGTCCGCGGCCTTCTTCATCTCCTTGATGTTCGGCAGCATCTGCCGCACGCGCGCGCGCACGCGCTCGCCGGCCGCCTCGTACTCTGCGGGGTCGAAGTCGTCGGGGGCGTCCGCGTCCACGCCGTACTCTCTGCGGAATCATGAAAATAATGATTTTCGACCAGGGACATACACAACAAACGAAATGAAAGTACAATAACATTCTTGTTATCTTTCAAAGATGGGGTAATAAGTATGCTCCCCGGCTATGTCGAACTCCGCGGGGTCGAAATCGTCGGGGGCGTCCGCGTCCACGCCGTACTCTCTGCAGGGGTCACAGAATTACCATTATTTCGACCAGGGACACTGGACATGGGACTAGAAACGGAAGTGGAATATAGAATAATTCAAATCATTATCGAGATCTATAAAAATGGGGGTCGTGAGTATGCTCGCCGGCCGCGTCGTACTCGGCGGGGTGTAAGTCGTCGGGAGCGTCCGCGTCCAAGTCGCTCCCGGGCGTTTTGGCTTTGGTCCACTCAAACTCTTAAAGCGTCACTGGATCCACAGCAAAGCAACTAAAGAGAGCAAGCAATCTGTTGAAGAAACCATTGCCCCACCTGGCAAGTCCTCCATATCCCATTCCTGCATCAGCTTGTCCCGCGCGCCTTCGCTTTCGTCCGCGCTCGAATTCTTCCGGCGTTACAGGGTCCACAAACCTTTCTCGGAAAGGCAGAATGTTTCTAGAAAAAGCAAAAATGTTGATACTGGAACGAAAAGTTTTCCCGCACCTGGCAAAGTCCTCCATGTCCCATTCCTGCATCATTTCGCTCCCGCGCGCCTTCGCTTTCGTCCGCTCGAATTCTTCCGGCGTTACTGGGTCCCCGACCCGCCGCTTGCGCCGCAACCGTGGCTTCGGAATGAGCACCGTGTGGGCGTCCACGTGGGCCTGCAAAATCTCCTCCTCCGTGATGACGTCACGCGCTGCCAGCTCCTCGGCCCACCTGCAGCATCGGGAGAAAACGTCAGCCGGTTACAAAATGTTGCCTGCTGTAAGAGTGTGTGGAAGAGTCCTACAGGGGAATTGACTTTCCACGGGTCTTATGAGGACGCACTCGCGAAGTGCATTCATCCCAGAATCCACCCGAGATTGCGGAGTTAAGAAAGACGAGAGGTACAGAAGATTACCACTTTAATGCGCGTGTGGTAACTTCACACGCTCGACCTTGCCACTGGTTCCAAATGGAGATAACATCAGGAAGCGAGCATCGGAGTCGAAACTCGCCCTTTCAACAAACATCGCACAGCGCTCTCCGGTCTCTGAAAGACTATGGAAGACTCAACTTGTGTAGACCAAAAAACATGCAGAACAGTCTGTCGTCTGCTCAATCGCGAGATTCAGCTGCTTTGGGCCACGTGTGGCGAGGCAATCCACCTTTGCATCTTGAAAAGTCCAACGGCTCTCGATCATACAGAGTCTCAATTCAAACCAACCGCGAATCATAGTTGCTTCACCTCTCGAGAAGTTGGACAGCTCTTGCAACTTACAGAAAAATTTGGACAGCTCCCGGAACATAGCTTGAGTCTACCTACAAAACCAGTCGCTTAGAAGGAAGCAGATGTGGCGAGGCGAATTACGGTCGCGTCTCAGAGAAATTGGACAGCTCTCAAACATACACAAAATCTCAAATTACTCGATCACAAGATATACAGTTGCTTCGCGTCTGGAGACATCGGGCAACTCTCACAACATAACGAGAGTCTGATTTTGAAACCAATTGCAAGATCCCGTTGCGAGAGGCGACCTTCGTGTCTCGGAGAAGTCGGACAGCTCTTACAACATAGACAGAGTCTCAAGTCAAACCAATCGCTAAGTGGATTTGCTTCGCCTCTCGGGAAGTCGGACGGCTCTCGAAACACAAATACAGAAATTGGACGGCTCTCGAAACATAGGCAGGAGCTAACTATGAAACCAGTTGCTTAGAGACAAAAGTGGCGAGGCGATTCACCTTCGCGTTTCGGAAAAGTCGGACAGCTCGGACACCTCCTTGCTCAGTTCGGACACCTCCGCCTCGGCCTCCTTCTCCTTGATCGTCTCCGCCCACTGGAGCGTGCTCGAAAACTGCTCCGGGGGGATGCTTTCGTCGGGGAAAAGGACCCCACTGGAAGATTCCACGGCCTGGGGGGCGGGGCCAGTCTGGCGCTCCTCTCTCTGCGAATGAAGAGGGGAGAAATTCAAGCATTGGTATGCAACCATTCCTCATGATAGAGATTTGAGAACTCGGGCCCCTTAACCTCGTACTCAAGATGTTGCACGGCCAAATTGCAGTTTGTTAGGTGCGGATCTCAAGGCTGTGTCGCTATACTCCCCGCCTTTGTCAAAACTGTTGAACTCCGTTAAAAACAACATCTTTGGTGCCAGGTTGAGAGACCCGAGCAAAGAGGGTAGGGGGGGGCGTTTGAGTACTGTGCTCACGACTCCGCAGCATTCAAATCTCGTTCATTTCAACTTTCGTTCAACGATGCGGACTCTTCATAAAAATTGAACGGGCGTATTGCCGGCACATGTAAAAAGAACCACCACTTTGCGAGACCGGTTGGCTGTCTATGGTTCCGGACCAAGGTCTTTTCACCTCTCGCCTCCGACGTTTGAAAAAGGTAACTGCCAACAACAGGACCCAAGTCCCACAAGCTGGGAAAGCGCCGCTGCTTGCTTTCTTCAATGCTTGCTTTCTGGCAAAGCGTTCCAACACCAAACAGGACAATGTTCTAGATCATAAATGCTCAATTGGGCAATTGATTGCAGGGCAATCAGGCAAGCCGCTCCAAACGAGTCTCCTCTGGCTGCCAGAGAATCCCGCTTCGCCAAAACACGTGGAAATAACCGATTGCAAAACCCGAATACTCAGCAATGTAATCCTATAGATATCAGAAACTCTGAGAACCTGGCAATCTTATACTGACGCGCCGCCGCTCCTCTCGCTGCACAGCTTTGAGGTCTTCCTGAGGGATCCCCCTGGCCCAAAGAGCTAGCAAACAAAATCCCACAAAATCCAGCCATCTAGAGACCTGACCTCGGTACCTAATAAACACGAAACTCACCCGCCGCCGCTCCTCTTGCGCCATCGCTTCGAGGTCCTCTTGGGGGATCCCTTTGGGGCCGAATCGCGTGCCCATCCCGGGCTTGCGCCCGAGCCGCTGGTCCATAATGTCGCGCATCATGTCCTCCTGAACGAGGGGATCCCCCTCCGCGGCCACCTGGTCCTCTATGGAGTCCGTCAGCCAGCGCGGCTTGTCGTCGCCCTCGCCCACCAGCTTGTCTGCAGAGTAAAATAATCCGAAATTTGGGAAACGGGTTAAGGGTATTGGGTTAAGGTTGAAACCAAGACTGGGAGCACCAAAAAAGAGGGCTCGAAGCTAGCGTGTGGTCCCGCGCCCTCCAGCTTGTCTGCAGAGTAGGATAAACCCAAGGTTGAGGGTAAGGGTTTTCGGGTTTTCGGGTTAAGTCAAACCAGTACTTTAGGAGCACTAAGGGAAGAGGAGGGGTCGAAGCTAGCGTGTGGTCCCCTCGCCCTTCAGCTTGTCTGCAGATTACAATCGAATCTCTCAAAACTAAAATCAATGTTTGAATGCCGAATCAATTCTGGATGTAGAATGCAAAGACGATTGACTGTAACCAGCATGCGGGCGAGGCTTGTATACGACCCGCGCCCTCTCCCACCAACTTATTTGCGGAAAAGCGAACAAGAGGGAGATGAAAGGAAATACACTACGAAGCGATCGGAAGTAGAATAGATCCGCTTTTGCGGGGTCCATTATCGTATGATGGGCATCTGCTCAACGGCACATCAAAAGTATGCGACGGCTGAATTTAAGAAGAAGAGGGTTTGCTATCGAGGTAAGAGCAAGGAAACCAACGTGCGGGGTGGCTCTGCCAGAGTAATAGAAGTCGAGCGTGCTTAAAGCGTACCTCCCAGAGGATTGAGACGCAGAGAGTTAACAGTGGAACGAGCCTGATTGATTCCCGTGTCTGAGCTTCAGAGTCCGTCCAAACACGGTTTGGATGAAACTTGTCCCCCATACTTCAGTCAGAAGACGGAAGTTAAAATTCGATCTTGAGGCCCGACATTTTGGAAGCCCCCCCAAAATCGATAATTAACGCCCATAAGTTACCACACGTATTTGCCAGTAATTTCACAGATGGGGGCTGTACTCTACGGTTCGTGCACGGCCATTGAGCTTTTAAACTCGGTTCCCGCAATTTGCAATCTAGCTTTGAAGGACACGTTCCACAAATACCGCTGTACAGAAAACCAGGCGCATCTCGAATTACCTACTGGTCCCCAGAATCAATCTAAACTTAACGCACGTTCACACTCGACGACAACCAACCGGACTGGGCATCGCTCTCACCGTAATCCACGCCCCTCGCTTTCGCCTCCTTCTTGAGGTAGGAACGGACTTTGGCCTGCAGCCGCTTGAAGTGCTTCTCCTCGCAGGCGTGGTACAGCTTTTTCTCCCACGACTGCAGGAAAACATGAAGAGGATTATCGCACAGCCTTTCTGAGATTCGCGCCGAGTGATCACGAGATCAACACCATCTATTCTAGGGTGGTCAGGTTCTTGGACTCCAAGATTCTGTTGCGGTCCCTGCCCCCACGACAGTCCACTTGTGCCGCCTTTCCAGTCGGATCAGGTAGTCACATGAAGCTTACTCAAGAGGCTTGCGCTTTTGCTTTTGATGTTCAACGTAAGAGAATTACACGACATGCATCCATCCCGTCCTGCCGCTCTGATTCTTCAATCCGGAACCACATCGCCTCCCTCCAGGCCATCCCAGGTCATCCGCCCCTCCTTTTTGTTCAGTTGCACTTCTTCACATTCCCACAATTCCTTTGTTGAGTCTTACTATTTGGCCCTGTTGGGGTTGAGCGCCTTAAAGAGCTAGATGTCAGATGCATTCCTCTTCCATTTGCCGCACTAACAAGCAGATAGTGAAGTCGCATCGCCTACCTCCAACCCATCCCAGTCGCTGCGCCCCTCCTGTCCGTTGAGCACGACCTCCGCGCGAATCCGCCGCAGCTCGGGGTCCGCCGCCAGCTCCGCCTCAAAGTCCCGCTGCACGCGCCGGGCAAACTCGGTCGTCCCGTCCTTGTACTGCGCACCAAAGATCGGGTGTTCGCCGGTAATCGTATCCGGCCCATCTTCGACCGCCGGCGCCGGTTCGGGCGCCTTCACCTTCTTCCGTTTCCGCACGATTCGGGTCACCTTAACCTTGGGTTTCGCGCCCGCCGCTCCACTCGTGACCGCTCTTCCGTTGGCGGAGGCGTCCTCGTTTTGGGCCCCGTTTTCGAGGTTGCGACCATTTTCGCCAACTACTTCCGGCTCGGCCCAGTCCCTAACAGGATCTTCTGTAGGCGCTTGAGCGGCCAATGAGGGGCTGCCACCTGGCACGGTGGCTGACGCCTCGGCGGCGGTTCTTCCAGACGTGCTCGGGAACGTTCCCGTCCACTCCGCGTCCTGATATCCCCCCGCCGAGACGCACGGCTCCTCTAGCATATTGACCCCCCCAGAAGCCGTTCCCCGCTCGTCTAGTCCCTCTCTCAACCTTCCGTTCTCAGCAGCGGCAGACACTTCCTCTCTTTCCTGGGGGGTTGTAGACCCACTCACTGACTCTACATTTTCTTTAACGACTGACCGGTTCGCAATTTCGCTTGCCATAGCGTCCCACCAAGCCCGGAACGCCCCTTCGTCGACCGTTCCGGGGGGTGATCGCGCCACCTCAGCGGAAAACCCCCGAAGTGCGGCCAAAATTTCCGCCTTCTCTTTTGGTGACGTCATTTCCGCGACCCGTGCCTCGATGCTCCGCTGCGAATCCTGCAGTCCCGGTAAAGTCGAAAAGCTCTTCGTTCTTCCGTTTGACGCATCCCCGTTTACAAAGGAAACGCTCTCGTGGCTCTCAGCACTTTCCTCCGCTCTTGGCAACCCCGCCTTCGCACTTCCGATCGAACTGAATCCTTCCGCCGCCCGCGAAGCAATATTTTCCGCTTCGTCCTCGTCCTCAATCGGTTTCGTGACCTCATAAAACCTGCCCGCCTCTCGCCGCTTCTCGGCCTCTAGGACGCGCTCCCACTCCCGCCGCAGGTCTTCCTGCGCCTTTGAGTCCAAGACGGGCGTTGCCGCCGCAGCGGCGGAAATTGCTGGGACAGCAAGCTTCTCCTGCAATTCAAATCCTTGGGTCGTCGCACCATTTTTTACCCTTTTGTGACAGCGAGTCAAACCTGCTTCTTTTCCATATTCAATTCGTACTGATAGGGGTCCACTGGACGCTACAGCAGTGTCCGTGGCCCCTTCCTTCCTCAACTTGCAGCAGCAGAGTTGTACCACTTGGAAAACGCTCGGAGAACACTCTTCTCTCGTGATGCCCGTATGGCAAGGGCATGCTCGCCTTCGCAGCAAGCACCTAGCAATTCACGCCATACCGCAGACTGGCCAATCATTACAATGTGACCATGAGCTTTCGCGATCATTTGGGAATTTCTAGAGCATTCAGGGACCCAGACTCACCTTCTTGAGCCCCAGTTTCCTCATCAGCCCTCCCACCCACCCCACCTCCTCCTTTTCCTCCCCCGCCAAAAGCGCCACATCATCCTCGTCTCCAAACACCCGCATCTCCCTCTCATCCTCCGTGCCCCAGTTTTGACCTCGCACTGGCACCTCCTGCGACGCCAAGATCTGCTCGCGAACCTCGGTCAAGCTCACGACAGCTGGCGACGTCTTACTGGCCTGCGTGACCTCCTCCAAGCGCCCCATGTGCTTCAGCTTGTTGAGGCGCATGATGCGTCCTTCGCGCTCCCGCTCTAGTTTCTGCTTCTCCCACTTTTGCCAGACGAACGAGCGGAACCAAACGGCGGCAGCCACGGCCGCGCAGAGGACGGTACTCCAGAAGACGACGATGGGCCAGGACAAGCCGTGCTCGGCCGTGAACCTGAGAAGCATTAGGGTTTCAGGGTTTAGGGTGTAGAAGTACAAGTTTAGCCCAAGAAGGAGTAGAACGATCTTTCAGCTCAAACCAAAAGCCGGGGCCTTATGTGGAAATCTCCAAAATCAGACCAATAAGTGTGGATGGGGAACAAATGAGACAAGAATCAGCAAGGTGCAGGCAGAGTAACAAAAGAAGCAAACGATGTAATAGAGGGCCCACTTACATGAGGGATATTTTTGGCTCGTAAGGAAACCTGATCAATGCACATGTCCTGTTGAAGGACTTGAAGTGGTGAGAAAGAAGTTCCAATATAATCTCCACAATTCCCAGCATTCAGCGAAGAGAGCTTCTACCGAGCGCAGCTAAAGTGTCAGATTGCGCCTTGCGCCTTGTCCCCAAATTTTTTCGAAAACATGTCAAATCCATTCCACCACCAGCCGAAGCCCAGCATTCTCATCAAATGCCTCGAGCAAAGGACATTAAAGTGGCGGTTTCAACAAAAGCAACCCGTCCCTCACCGTGAGCCCCTCTCCATTGCACCGTCCCACGCTACCGAGGCCCTGTTTCTAACACCGCCCTCTTCTTGCCAATCTCCCCCCCTCGCAGCAATTGCCCCATACTGCTCCAACAGGTCCCGGCCCCCCTTCCGGCTCCGCTCGTCCCGCTGCTTCGCAAGCGCCTCCTCGTACTGCTCCGCGAACTCGGACGGGTCGAGCCCGTTCTTCGCCATGATCGCCGCGAGCTTCTCGGCGTTGCTGTCGGACGCCCGAGAAGCGTCCGGCGCCCGCTTCGGACCGTCCGAAGAGTAGCTGGGGAGCTCGATGCCCACCGACGCCAGCTCGCGTGCCATCTCTTCGCGCGACCGGCCGCCGGGGGAGTCGTCGAGAACGGACACCTCGACCACCTCATTGGAGAAGCGCGCTCTTCCCGGCACTCCCATCCCATCTCCATTTTCTGAAACCCCGGCAGCTTGGCTTTCACCATCGATGAAGTGCGGAGATTCTACCTCGGAGAAACCAGGCGACTCGTTGAAAAAACCATTACCAGAGACGTGCGAAGATTCTTCTTCAGTGAAACGGCTCTGGAAGTTCGCACCAGAAACCTGGGAAGCAGCCTCCGGAAAGGACCCGTTGACATCAGCATTTGCAATGCCGTGCGCTTGGCCATCTGGAACCGCGCCTGCCTGAGCTACAACTGAGCTTGGGGTTCTTCGCCCCGGAGGACCACCAATTCTAACGACGCGCCTTCCGCTAGGCAATTTGGATTGGGGAGGCGACAGCCTGAGAATTGAACTCAAGCCCGAAGTGGGAACACTAGCAGGGGATGTTGTGCAATGTCGTGGTTGCACATTGACCAAAGGTCCCAGACAACTAAGATTTTGCCGGGGGCGAATCTGATGAGAAAGTGACGAACTCTCAAAACACAATGCTGCCCTCTTGATAGAGCGGGTGGTGTGGCGTGATGAAGCGAGCTGGCTGCTCGCTTTCTCAAAAGCGCAAATGGGCACACCAACCCCAGCCCTTGCAGAGAGCGCCATTGCGGCCAGAATTGCTAGAAGTTCAGCCCAGCCTTGCAGGGAACGCTTTCAGCTGAGCACTTCGCTTTTTAACAAGGCCCTCTTCTAATCATGGCGACTGTTCCGCAGTGGCAAGACAAACTCCTCCTGTTCAAAACAAAACTGTCAGTGACAGATTGCGAAGCTTGGCACTTTCTTGAAACTGTTTCAACTGCGACTGCCTCACAGTCTCCCTGTCTTGACAAACTTTCAGCCGTCGACGAGAGGATAGCATCTGACGGCTGCAATTGTAAACATTCTGCTCGTGTTCCACAATCGAACCGTGGCTTTCGGTTATCGGAGGGCTAGAGTGAAGCCGGCTGCCAGTCCACAGAAGCCAAACGGTTGGATCTGCGACAGGGGTCACTTTCGAAAGAGAAGGGGGAGGAAAACTTTCATTGTTCAAATTTCCAAGGAAGAGAAGGGGCCGAAGATACTTTCTGGCATGCGGGCATGAGCAGGAGATTGACAGAATATTGAATTTCTAAGACTATCGTACCCTAGTAGCTAGCTGTCATTTTGCAATGAGCGGAGGCCGTTGAAAAGGTGGCGCATGCTACAGAAGTTGTGTTGCTTGGAAATTTGTGATTTGACCAGGAAGCTTCTTTGCAACGGGTGGGCAACTCTAAAACCATAGGGGCCAAGAAGTCTGGAAACAGCTCACCTGTTTTTCAACCTTCATAAAGCAGCTTTTTAAAGGTTGTTGCTTAAGGAGACGTTGCACAATGGGGAACGTTGACGTGGCGCAGCATAAGCACTTGAAATCACCTGCATGGGCCTGGAAAGGAGTGGGTCCTGAGAACAGCGCGCCTGCTCAGCTTGCTAACAGTCCAATCGCAAACCTTGCCGCGAGACTAGCAGCCATCCGCGTCGGGCAAGCCACCATGCAGGCACCAGTCTCTGCAAAAACTGCTGATGTCAGCGCCTCGCTGGCGAGACAGGCTGGCGACGACAACAAGGAGAACGTGGGGGTGTTTGGGAGACAAGGCTGGAGGGAGCTCAGCTTCGAGGAGCGCCTGAAGGGAGCTGCCAAAAGCAAGGCGGAGGTGACGGCAGCGGCGGTCCAGACTGTGCATGGACTGCAACAGGGCTTGGAGAACCTCAGGAGCAGCCCCGTGAGAAGGGTCAGCATAGACGCCTTACCAATGGCAGCGAATGTCGAAGCTGCAGGAGCCAAGGCAGGTAGCACTTTGCAAGAAAGGTTGAGCGTTGGAGAGAGGTGTGGGAGTCAGGGTGCAAGCGCAGAGACGGAAGCAAAGGGACGGTGGACACGCATGTGGACGCAGCTTCCGGAAGAAGGGCAGCTCGCTGATGTTAGCAGAGGGAATGCGGTGGATTTGGGTGCTGGAGGCCAGGAGAAGGGGTTGGGAAAAGCTACTGCTGTGGGCAAAGGTCAGAAATCACTGGAGGTTCTGTCAACGTGAAAGTAGCGATGTTGACTAAGCTCCTGAAACATGTCTGCAAAGAGTATCGTATTCTTTTGACGCATGTCTGGCCACAAATCTCTGTCTGACACTTTCTTGCTGTCCTGAAAAGCTTCTTCGGACAGCTTTCAGCTAATGCAGTAGACAGCTTTGATTCTGCAACTGAGGACACTACATGCGACTCGGGAAGTCCACCTGGGGAATTCGATCCTTGCGCACAAGATAGCCCCCATCAAACGCCGGCCTGTATGTAAAGTCTCACTGCCCTGTACATTTGAAAAGTCCCCTTCCAATCTTCTTCTGCCTCATGACACTGAACACTTGACATTCCTATGCGCAGGTGTTGCTTCGGAGGTTCGAGAGGCGTCTCTCCACATGGATTGCACAGCCCTCGGTGCCGACATCGCACAGCTTCCGAGCCAGGTGGACGCAACGTCATACCTGCTCGGCGAGCGTGCGGCGCTCGAGCGCGCTTTCCAGCAGGTCGTTCCGCACAGAGACCAGGTCACAACGCTGCATGGGGTGGTGGCGCAACTGCAAAGGTGGGGCCATGCACCACTGGAAAAGTGTGGTTGGAACGAGGCTGTCATGAGTAAAGAGGACAACTATGTGAATGCGGCGGCTGAGAGCTCCTCGATAAGGGCTGATATTGGGTACCGTGTGTCTGGGCAAATAGACTGCCTGATGCAAGGTGTTGTGGTAAAACATGGTTGCCAAAGTTCCCTCTTACATCTGACTCATCACCTTCGAAACGGTTGTCTGAGCCCTTGTGAAACTGATGCGGGTGCATGTATTCGTGTTATGATAGTGCCAAATCTCTCCATTTTTGGTTATTCACTCAGTTCACCGCAGCACAAATTCTTGGACAAAGCATATGGCGCTCAAACGCTTGCCAGAAAGCGACGCTGTTCCTTAGAAATTGCTCCGTGCGCGCAGTGTGACCCAGCAAGAGAGCAGCCGGCTACGGCGCCTCGAGAATGCCGGTGGCGTGCTTCATCTGTCCATGTCGACCGCAACCGAGCGGCTTGAAAGGATTGAGCAGGTAAGCCGTCATGAGGGTCCCTCCAGACGCTGGAAAGAAGGTGCACATGTTTACATTCGGTTTGCTCCTTCAATTGAAAAGATTCATAAGAGATGTTGCTCGGACGGACCAGCTTCATGTTTGGTTGGCCGGTCAATCATCACTCTTTTTTGTGGCACAGTTTCTACTCTAGAACCCACTTTGAGAAGTCGCACGCTACTTCTTTCACACTTGCCCCAATCAATGCGATACAAATCTCTCTGATTGTAAACCTCAAGAGGTCAGCTTTATTCAGCTTGCTTGCAACCTCAATCCGGGTGTAGTGGAACTGAACCCAGTTTCGAAACGCCCCCCCTGCTGCAGACTGTCCCTGCCCTGGAGATATCTCTCGCTGAGCTGCGGGGACACTTAGAGGGTATGGCATACATGTCTGCGGAGCTGACTGCCGTGCGAGCGTCTCTAGCCGCCCTCCAGGCGAACCAGGAGCACATCAAGGAGCGGCTGAGCTACTCGAGCAGTACCTTCTTCAAGTGAGGCCACTGCCGTTCTGCATTCTGTATACCTTTTGGGGCCCGTTTCGACAACTGGTAATCTTGATACTCTTTCAACTTTCTCGGTGGGCTCTGAGTCACTTCATGACTCCTCTCTGAGACGATGAGCGGGTATTTTAGGAGACAATCCGCAGCATACTTCCGACGATGTGGCTTGGGAGAGGTTGGTTTCAGATGCTCAATAGGCGTGTTCAAGAGCTAGAAAATTCAACTCGGTCCCTGAAGAGTTGGGGTTGAGCTCTTGCCTGTGTCACGGCCAGAACCCTGACAAGACTTTGAAATAAGCTTTCCTGTTCTGCTTGCGAGGCTTCAAGATACTGAAGATTGTCACTTTGTCGTGAGACTTTGGGCTTGCAACCCCGCGGCGTTGTCAAATCAAGCAATTGGCCGGAGACAAAGACGATCGAGAGTGCAGTCACCGTGCGGGATGCTGCTCCAACGTAATGGAGGTTTAGATGCTAAGGGGCTGGACTCCGTTGTGAGGATGGATGTTCAGATGGAAAATTTTTGCACAAGGTTTCAGTCTGAGGAGAACGGCGATGGAGAACGCCACGGATCCTTCTGCAGGTTTCTGACGGGGTCGTGGGGGCGCTTGCTGGGCTACTTGGCGCGTGCTGACGTGGCAGCCCTGTACCTTGCACGGAAGATCCTGCTCGACACGAGCGGGGAGAAAGAACCCTTGCTACCCATATACGCGTAAGTTGTCGGGTGCATCTTCTTTCAGAGGTGTTGGCGGCAACTCTTGCTACCTAAACAAGCAAACAGTGTACAGTGTTGACTATAGCCCTTTGACGTAGAATCATCGTATGGGGTTGCGAGGTGGGGAAAGCGTGGAGTTGCGAAATCACCCTTGCTCGCCTGTCCACTTCAAAAGCATTCATGCTGTGGTCGTCGAACTCTCACTCCGGACGCACCCCTGTTTCGAGCATCCTCCAAGCACCCGTACATCGCTCTTTTGCCACCGCTAACGTTTGCCTGTCGATGTGCCCCTAGCGGGTTTGCACAATTTCCCACAGCTCCGGCCTTTTTGAGCGAGTCTCGAAAGAGTGTTGACTGCTGTAAAGTGCTGGGGGGTCCCGTCTGTAAGCTGTGGGTTATTATTCTCGCCCCGTTCTACTTCGAGGTGACGGCGGGCAGACGTTTGCTAGGCCTCTGATCAACAAGATTCGATTCTCATCCATAGTTGGTTCATGATTCTGGATCGCGTTCCATCTTCCTATTGATGGACCGTTCCCATGCCTATTACTCGATTTTACTTCTACTGTCTGCAGGCCGCCTCCTCCCTCCGCTGACGCCGACTCCAACCTCCATGACGTCAGCAAGTTCGAGTGGTCTGCGGACCACGTGCACGCTCTCGCACGTGCCATCTCTCGCCACCGGAAGGTGCGGTCGGCAGCCGGCGCGATCCTGGTCGTTGCAGCGGTGGAGGCCACGTGGCGGCTCCAGAAGGCGGCGAGAAAGCCGCTCCCACGAGTGCTTCGCTCGATGACGGTTCCGGTACGTTTTGGGGGGACGGATTTCTACCTTATGAGCAGAAGCTCCGAGTTGCAGATATTTGCTTGTTGACTTTAAAATTGAGTCGGGTACGCGGGGTCCTCTCATTTCGCACGTAGTGTTGGTGAGTGTTGATTGAGTTGATGATTGTTGATCCCCATACAGGGCTGTAATTTTCTCGAACTGTGAAAAGGTGTCGTTTCTGGAAGGGATCTACACTCTGAAGAGGAAAACTCACCTGAGCTCTGAAAGGGCGGCCTTCGTTTCGTATATTCGCTTCCAGTTGTGAACGCTTTTCACTCTGATATGGACTCGTGCATGCCGCCGTGCAGCTTGACACGTGTCTCCGTGTTGCCCGCATCTGCGTATGGGCGTCCGCGTTTGTCGTCGGGGCCGAGGAGCTGAAGAAGGGCTGCTACTCGGCGGCGGACTCGGTCGCCAAGCTGCAGGATAACGTGGCAGAGGGGATCAAGACACGTGGCACGATCTTAGCGGACGGGCTTGCAGCGCACAGTCTCGTGCTGCGGGACAAGTGGGGTCAGATGTGGAGTCGGCTCGCGCATGTGGGGGACACGTTGGGATTCGAGGGGGCTGCCGGAAAGAGTGTGAGCGATGGGGATGACGTGGAAGAGGTGTTGATAGCGGATGCGCGCTGTCGGGCAGTTGGCTATGTGCATGGGGAGAGCTTTCCACCAAGGTGTTGATGCTATTTCGTTAGGTGGCAAAGTTTGTTTGCTTACAAGATAGAATAGGAATAGAGCTGAGCTGCAGCGTTCCTCTCGACACGTCTGAATATATGTTGCTATCAAGAAGGTGCAAATTGTTGACTTCGTAATAAAGCTGGCTTCCGTGGTGTATTTCGAACATAAAGCTGATGGGCCGACTTAGACAAAGCATTTACCACGGCTTAGGTCGATGCATAAGAGTGGCCGCAAAGTCACATACTAGGCAGCTTTCGCTGTACTTTATTTTGCAAGTATCTAAACACATTTGTGCTCGGCAGGGTCCTTATCGATCATGGGTAATAACTGCCTACCTACTTCAAACACAAGGACATATGATTGTCAAATTGCCGGTATCGCATCGGAGAAGTGAGCTAGACAAGATAATTTTCTCTGACTGTAACTGTTGAAGAGTGGCCCGGCGGGCGTCATGCGTGACATTGAGCCGGGCCGGGGTGGCACGTCGCGTCTCATATGCTGGCACATGTCAAAACCTCAGTGCATGTGATTGAATTTCGGCCGTTTGTCAATTGTGTTTGAATGACATACTATTATATAGGGCTTGACGTCACACAGGCGCTATGATCATGTTGCATCCGATCATGCATTAGATCGTTCAAATCTCGGGTCTAGTGTGCTGACCCCTAGAGCTCGAATCAGATCGCTATGAAAGAGCATGATGAGATCAGTTCAATATTATATAATGTATCAGGCACGAGTATAAATCGCTCATGAGAAGCTGGATGGGAGTCACACGGAACAATGGAGCGCGGACAGCATCCAATCAAGCTCGTCAATGCTCGACAAGTATAAAACATGTCTACAAGTGCTAACGGAACTTACACCAGCAGCCTCGGAAATTTCTGTTGGGAGCCTTAGCTTGACCTGCAATGAATACTGTCAAGATGCCCTTCCACTGCCTAACTTTGGTGTGCTTTACTGATCTCATGTACATCTAATTGGCAGGCTACTGGTGTCAGTCTAATATGTACAAGCTTTTAACATCTAAAATGAGCTGGTGCCGTCAATCTAGTAGGTTTAAAACCAAACACCTTTAGCTCGCAACTCGTCTACTCTAAGTACAAAGTTGGGGAGGAATGGATCCCCACGCAGCTCAGTGGGATTCACAACGAAATCCTCATCAAATTCCCGTCGGTAAACAAAGACCACATTCTTCTCGGCGTAGAAGATCCACACCAATTCGCAGCTGCAAGAGTACAGTCAGCAGTGATTAAAACGAGCAAAGAACCCGTGTGTGTCTATCTCGATGTATCAAACCTCTTCAGGGCCTCAGGATCGTGTGAATTCAAAGCAAAAACAAGTGGGAACCCACAGACACGGGACAGAGCCCACTTTGAGCGCCCCACATTGCCGGCACTTCAAGTAGTGTGTTGACAGTGGCTTGGGTGTTCCTGTCATGCCTTTTATGAAAGCGTGCCCTTCCAACGCTCAACCATATGCTGCAAAAACGTTCCAATTGTGGACGTTTTAGGCATGCCTCCAAAGGAGCGTCCCCTTCCTGATGCTCAACCACACAGTCCACAACCTTTGTAAAAGGAATGTTCACAAAGACAATAAGACTGATCCACCACTCACCCAGCAATTAGATACTCCTTTGCTTTTGCCCTCGCCTCCTCAAGTGTCTCTTTACTGGTGGCCACTTCTACACACAACTGCGGACACGCGCGCACGAGCAACCCCCCGATCGGTTTCCCCACCATCTGCAGGTGCCACCGGTTTCTCCCCGTGAACGCCACCTGGGGGGACCGCTGGGACTTGACCACAGGCAGGAAGAACCCCCCCGGAGGAGTGAAACATCGTCCCCTCTCCGGACTTCTTTCTTCATTCCAGCTCCTAAGCTGCCGTAGAATCTCCTCTTGAAGAGCCTCTACGTTGGCGCCATCAGCTGGCTTCACCGACACCCTTCCGTTTGCGAGCCTCTCTATCCGAAGCCGTGGATTGCATTGATGGAAGAGAACCAAGTCATCGTCTGTCCACGTGTAGGCCCGAATCTCCAGCCTTTCTGAGTACGTTTCAAAGAGTGCAGGCAGGTGGGAGGGAAAGAAGTTTAGGTCTAGAGCGCGGCCGCTGTAAGTTTCCACACGGACTTGGTGGGGCGCTAAGGCAGTTTGCGCAGCGCATTGACAAACAGAGCTTTGCTTGAACGCTTTTCTTCGAAGCCTAAGGCTGACAAAGAGAGGCCTTGCATGCGGAGCGCCAGTTGATCCTCTCCGTATGGAATGATTCTGCCATGAACTCTGCAGTCCTTGCCGAAATGCGACAGAATTCATTGAAGGAGCTTGGCAAGACCACTTTAGTTGTGAGAGGTTCCTGGCATCTGCAGATTGCGCAGTCTGGCCTGAGTT